AATAGGTCAGATCACTTGTCAAAATTTTGACCGGCGAAGATTCATGCAACGTAAATCTTCGCGTTTGTAACGTGTGGCATGTATGTTTTATATTATCATATGAGATGAAAAGTATGTTACGTTATACACACGCCTTGTGTGATTAAATTCGCCCGATTTTTTATGGATATTACAGTTGAAAATATTTAGCCGACTTGTCCTAGTTTCCAGAAATAATCTGGTGTACGTACGTTCGTTGCAAGAATCATGTAGCCCATTTCGATCGATGTATCCCGTCAAATCTATTTTTACTCTGACAAAGTGAACCACAAAATCTAAAAATTCTAGCAGCACTTCCCAAATACTTCAAACTTTTTTTTTGATGTTCACTCTTCGGCATGGTATTAATTGGGTTACAGGTTGCATTTACTTCAAAATCCAAGTTGAGTTTACTTTAACTATATATAGCCATGTGACGTAAATTGATAGACATGACCTTTTCACTACTCTAAATTTCGTCATCGTAGTTGACCAAAATTATTTTTTTAATTCATCCCTTGCCACGTATAAAAATTACTTCATTTCTTCAATCTTTAAAGAATCCTTAGATAATGTCATGCACAAGTCGCTCACCCACTTTTGTACAATTTAGGTAGTTAATATTATGACCATAAATAAGAATTATAGTAATAGTAATTAACAGCATATACAAAGCGCCTCCCTAAAAACGACAAAATTCCACCCTAAAGTTGCTTTAATTAACGTTTGTCAGTCGGAAAATTGTAATATCCATAATACGGCCAATCAACCCTGTACAATAAATCGATTTGGCAATTGCATTTATAGTGTCCATTTCTCGATTTAAATTGAAGTTATAAATAATACAACCTAATTTATCTTACATAGTTTCACCGTAGCGAACGAACTAGTTTTTTTACGGTTTACGACTTTGAGACCCAATATATTTTATGAGCAACTCGGGTCCAATTCTCTTTTTTTTAATCTAACATTATTCATATATGGAGATTACGCAAAGGTGCACGTTATCAAGTATCCATACTTGACCGTAGGATACTCGTCAATCAAAATTTAGTTGAATCTACTTTAAAATTTGTGTCTTTGGCCATAAAAAGGGAAACAAAGTTAGATGCTACGACCTTCATGTTTTGTCTACCGCGACTCCTCCAAAGCAAATATTAGTTTCTTTATATTTATCAAGCAACGTGAAAAATTACAAAATATGAGGCCAGGGAATTAGTAATTCGGAAATTTTAAAACCGTCTTACTAATACTCGAATGATAGCAGAAATTATTTCACAATTTTTCGTCTTCCCTCAAGACGTTTTGAGAATCTAAATTTAGCAACATTTTGCATAAATATGGTAAATCGGTTCAGCTTGCAATAGTGTGTCAATCATACTACTCCCAATTATCCAATTACATTCGATTTTGCAATATGCCTGGAACGTGATCGAGTCTGACTATCTTAGTTTGGACTTTGTATTTATGCAATATTTCTTTGTGTTTTTCATTTCTAAATGACCAATATTACGAATCCATCTTTTCTCTGTTTTTCATGTTTAGAAAATTAGGCGGATACAGCTGTCCGAAAAAGTTATAGTTGATTCTCCATTTAATAATCCCGGGGATTAAAATTACATATTATTCAGTTAAGTTTGTCATTGTTAAACAATGTGAAATTCATTGCTGTGAAATAATGATTCATATTACATTTCGTAAAGTAATACTTTTCATATATTATAATTTTGCTTTAAAATTAATTATACCGGTAATTAGGTTCATTATTCGAAGATTCAAAATTTAAGATTTAGAAATAATTGCAATATAAAATTCTCGAATAACAACAATATAATTCATATACGTAACCGTCTATAGTTCGATTACGGCCTGATTTTAAAATCGACATATTTCGTCATTGTTGTGCATTTTCGATCAAATGCAGCTCTCTGCAGGGTAAAAACTTTCTACCATTTGCGCCACTACATCTACTTTCTCACTGAGTAAGCATATCTTTTACTGTTTTACTAACCACACAACTGTCACCAAACATCGACAGTAAAGTCAATATTTGCCATATGCAATTGCTTCCGAAATTCACTCATTAATCAAAGTGACATATATGGTTAACTTTCCCAATCATACAACACATTTTGCCTCCTTTTCAAGACATAACATCTCTCTACAATCGTTACCATCCTACTTCAGCGGTCTACGAGAACACACTCGGCGGCCAACTTGTGAGATCCCGAATAAGGCTTGAATCTAAAATTGGTCATGATGAACTACGTCCATTTAGGTTTGTGTTAGTTTGTTGATGTTTTTTTTATTTGTACACAATCATGTAAGGACTGTATAACCTGTCGTGTAATTTATCAGGACATCATACTTGATTTGAAGTTACTGATTTCGTTATCGACTCGAGTAGCTTTGTAATTGTCGGAACCACTTGCGCGACCCGTCCTTCAAATAGAAAGTCTGTTTTACGTCATCGGTAAACTGAAAGGACACTTACGCTTGCTTCTCGTAAAAGTTTATGGAAGATCTGTAAAAATCAAAGTTTGATTTGCCTTGTGCTGTGGTGAGGTTTGGCACCAAATTGCTATTTGATTGAATGTTTATGACCTGTCGTATCCGTTATCCGTATATAGGTCAAACTTTGCAAAGTCTGTTTTCGATTAATATCGAATCAACCAATATTCATCTAATATGGAGTTATAGATACGATTTGGTCGAAATATGGAATTGGATGGTTTTAAAATATTTCATAATTTCATATGTTGTTTTCATAATTCCAAATCTGCAAGAATATTTTCTTGTCCTGAAGCGTGGGCGCCTAAACGAAGGTGATACGAGATTTGGTATCTGATCCAATTATGTTAATGTCACGTTGCAGAATATTATAATGTTAATTTACCATTCATTAATTTGGACTACGTTACCTGATGTATATTTGACCAGTTCAAAGACATTTCCCTGCAATTTTAGAAATATCTTTAACACAAGTTTTCTCGACAGTTTGGCATAGGTATATCGTGAGATATATCGTTCCAGACATAGCAAAATGTGTCTTATCTGCCCCAAAATTGCCAATAGAAACTACCGTAGTATAAATGACCTGAATATTCAAAATAAATTATTCAGTTCAACTTCATGTTTGATTTGTGTTTCGACTTCGTTTGTTGTAAATTTATTGGACGGCATTCCTATAGCCTAGGCGTCAGTTTGTGTTTTTTTATTATTATTTATGAACAACTCGTAAATATAGACGAGTTTGTGAGATACACCTAAAATTGAAGTGGAAATGCGACCTCGTTGATAGATGATTTTCTTTGTATAAATAACAATGAACCGCGTGTTCGGGGTCGCACTTTTCAAGAGCCCAAAACAGATGTATCTTGTTTTTTGTTACTTTAAGATATTTTCATTGAAACAAGCATGATTTGAATCTGGAATATGCACTTTATCATTTGACTTGCTTGTACAGGTAATATTATAAACACAATAATAGAAATATGTTAATATGGGTCGCGTTTAAAATTTTAATTTGTGGACGGTCATATCCGTCGTAAATTAACTTGTCTGTCGGCAATACTTCCAATTTTGAGAGGCTGAAATAATTTTGCGCATGGATAGGTGGCGTGAGAAGATCTGTGCAAGAGTTTTGTACAATGTCAATTTTGTGTGGATAGCGAAGTGTTCGGATTTCATGTACGTAAACTATAGGTCACGCGAGTTTATATTTCAAGGAACCTAAGTGGCGAATGGCTCCGATAGGTTAAAAGTTTAGACATTTTATTTTTCGGGAAAAAATTGGTGTGTGTTGTTAGGTGCTATGGTTTTCAGGGAAACTGAAAGATAACACATGACGTCAGAAAGACTTAATGCACATTATCTGACTGGTTGAAGTCTGCATACCGATTGATGTTTATATTTTGGTAAGACTCACTTATGCTAACATGAATGTCAATTATGTCAGTATTAACATCTAATTTCAGCTGATTTTTTTCGCAATAAAATTCCATTTCCTGTGTAAATGACATCGTTGAATTTTAGTTCGATGATAATTGTGGTTTTGAATATTTTGAAAATCTAAATAGACCGCCAGTATAACAAAATTAGACATACGTGGTAAAATTCAACATTAATTGTACTCGTGACTTAGAAAACAGGGCTGTGGAGTCGGAGGTCGACTTGATTTTACCTGATCTGGAGCCCGAGTGGTATTTTCAAATTCAAATCGAGATTTCGGATTTTCAATGGCGATGAAATAAGTCCAAACTTTCTACGGACACTCTTCATCAGTGATTCTCAACCGCTGCTCGTAACTATTCCTCCTGTGGCCTTCATAACATTTTAAAAAATAATCATTTCCATTGAACTTGGAATTACAAGTGGGTAATACTCCCGATACACTATCAGTCTTCATGGCTTCGCCTGACCACCAGATAGCAACGAACGCGAACGCGGAAACGCCACAATGTGCGCGGTTTTTTTTTTTTTGATGACGTCATCGCAACAAGAAACGAATTCCGTAGAATCTAGATACACCAAGTTATTATAATAATTTATTAGAAAAGGTTCGCAGGCGCCAAAAATATTTGTTATCAAAATTTGACTTAATCGGACTTTTGAGGATCTGGATTCGTTCTTTTTTTACAGCCTCGAGTCAAAATTTTTCTTAACTCAGAATCGGAGCAAATTTTTTTTTTATTTTAAAGACGATGAAAACGAGCAAATTCCATCAGTAATGTGCCTTAGAATGATACGAATTTATACTTATAGTAGTTTTGAAAAAAAAAATTATGTTATTTTTTTGCAGTGCGCAGCATTTTTATTATTGCATTTTAAAATATTTTTAAATTTCATAAAAACTAAATCCATTCCACATCTTTCCTGGCACGATAACACCCTCCAAAAGCTATAGAGATTGCCTCTTCCCAGCTGCCTTTTCAAAAGTTGAGTTACCTGCAAATTATTCACATTTTTTATATTATTTGCAGCTTACCGTGGCGGGAATTCTGACAGACAAGGGTGGTTTAACATTGGTTTATAACCAACTAAGTATGATGATTAATGTCGATAAAGACAAACATGATTTATTATCTGTCGTCATCAGCTTATGCAAACATTGTGGTGAAGATTTAGCAGGACTTATATCTAGGAAAAATAGGTTAGTCTAATCTTATTTTCTTTTATTTTCCCTTGGAAATTGGCCACCTGCGGAGTCAGATTTTTTTTTTTTTGAGGGATCTTATTAACGTCGTTCTCTCTGAACAAGGCCCTGTACAACAACTACTAACACTAAGGATATGTTAGAGCTACAACCGAGCCTCAACCGAGTCACTTTAGGGAGGTGGTCACTCATAAGTAAAAGCTACAACATTCAAATTGAAAAGACCTGAATATTTTTTGGTTTATGGGAGCTTGCCCAATTTCTGACACCTCGATTTGATAGTGCAGTCTATACCGCAATTTCAACATGGTAAACCAATCACCCGGAGTAACCGCTTTTGGCGCTCACGTCGAGAGAAAAAATTATTGGAAAAATTGCCATTTTTACATATTTTATTTTGTTCAGTTCATGATTCATTATTTCCAAACAGTTTATCCTAGCATTCCAATGAACTTATTGGATTTAACTATCTATCAAGAAAGCGATTGACGACTGTCCTATTTTTATTAACCCCATACCGCTGATAATGATCTTCAAATTGTTTCGAATATATTTTCTGCATAGTATATGGTGATAACTTGTTAATTTACACAATTTTTATATTTCCTTGTTTGGTACATAACGATAATAATGTGTGCGTTTAGTACTACGAAAGAGATTTAATTTGTTAAGTTTTCAAATTTGTCTAATGAATACTTAAAACTAAGGTCCTTTGTCGTTTCGACCGCTAATTATTACTTTTCTTAATTGCAGAACATTGGCGAGCAAGTTTGACATTGAGTTGCCACGAAGCAACGTAAGTGTGCTATTTCTAACTAATTACCATATTTTGTCATAAAAATCTGGACCGTGTTCCAACTATCACTGACACATAACATACGTATGTTTTCGTTGGCCCATAGATGATTAGAGGTTGTTTGACTGATACTCTTAATATAATAATGATTATGCTTCCCAAGGGATCTATAGTACGATATATATTGGTTTCCTACTGTCGATCGTATCCTTGTCCCATTTGTCAGAATGCATTTGCGAATATATGTTTATTAGATGTACTTTTCTCCTCGACGAAAATAGACGATCGTGGTAGGACTAAGTTCGGAGCGGTTTTCCGTAGGCTGCTCCACCCAGTAGAATGATCGAACTATATTGCGTTTTATTAATCGGTTAATACCGATAACATTTCTAAGATTGATCTGACCTGCTTGCTACTTGGCAAATGAATAAAACGTTAAGACTCTCGTAAAACCTCAAATTACAGTTTGATTTTCGATTTCAATCTTCAATAAGAGTAATAATCTTGGCGTTGCGATGGCCTAACGGTTAAAGCGTTTGACTTCACTGAGTTGACATTGCCGATTACACATCTTAGGCCTCTCCATCACAAAGGGTGTGATAAATTGGGTAGGCCAAACCGGAAAGATTCCGGTGTTTCCAAATAATAGAGTTAGATGTCGGAGAAAGCCTCCATAGGTCGCCTGGTTCGGATAAAATAGCATTTCCCAGTATCGAATATCTGATATATTGTACACTCGGTCACGTTCAACAAAGAACGCACAAATCAAAGTATATTCAATAAGCTTCGATCTAGAAATGAAGAAACATTACGATAAACAATGATTTGGCTGGTTTTCTATTTTTTTTTTTTTTTTTATAGTTTCCATTCAAAAACGAAATGAGGATATTTTTGGTCGTCTCTGGAACCCGATTGCTCAAAATAATAATTTTTCGAATTTAACCATTTTAAATTCAAAATTATTCCTATAATAAAAGCTTCAAATATTGAAAATTCGAATCGAATATTCAAATTGTTTTGGACATTCTTGACCTCTTCATGAAAAAGCATGTAAATATATTCTGTTCTAGGACGAAAAAATTGATATAGGTTGACTCTTCTTTTGGGATTCTATCATTTTATGTATTTACCAATTTCTATTTTAAATATTCCATGTAGATTTATTTTTGAGCGAATGCGCAATTCAAATTTCACTTTCTAAAATGCTGAGTAAATTTCGGGGTTTACTGAGCAAAATGCACATTTCCAAAAAATAAACAAGTAGCAAACAATAATATAATTTTGAAATGACATTAATTTTGAATTTCGCCTCAAATAATTTCTGAAATAATGTTTAGTGTCCACACCCAACGAAATATAGTAATATTAAGATCGATAGCAAGCTCCAAAATTTGTAAATATTTCTTATATTATATAGTGATATATTGGACGGTAGATTACTATCTGCTAACTTACCACTTAGTATGACTTTGAAAAATTCTCAAATCATCCCAATTCAATTCAAAAATCAAGTCGACTGACAAATCTGCTTCAACAAATTCAAATATTTTAACGATTCAGGAGTAGTGTTAATATACACTTCTTCCGCGTTTCGAAATAGAAATTTATGAGAAGACTTTCAAGTTTTCCTAAATAAATTATCAATTGATTCAGGTTTTCGCGGCAGAAAAACAGAAAATATTTTACAATGCGTTGACTGAATATTGGCAATCGGTCCGCGATCATTTGCTGAAGATTCACAAAGAATTGAAGAAAATGGATAAATCTAATAAGTATGTATAATTTTTGTATTCTGCCTATGGCAACGTCTCACAACCTTTGTTCTTGCGCCCTATTTTGTGTCATACTTCATCCCGCGGCAACCAAGGCTGTGGAATTGGAGTCGCGAGTTTGGATATTTTTTACTGGAATCGAAGCTGGAGTCGTATTTTCAAACTTTCCGGAGTCGGAGTCGAAGTTTCGATTGCGTCGCGGCCGGAATTACAGACTTTCGATTGTTTCAAAGAAACTCGAAAAACATTAATTTTACTAGCGTTTCAACAGTCAATTCAAGAAGTCCTGTTTGGGCAAAAGTTTTTATCACAATTAGATTGACTCGTAGTTTCGGGCTGTAGTCGAGTCGAAATTTTTTGCAACCCGAAGCCGGAGTCAGAATTTTCTAAACCCGGAGTCGCAATCGGAGCCAACTTTTTTAAATCTGAGACGATGGTAAATTTTCCCCGAATCCGTAGCTCATTGACAACACCCTTCCCTTTTATTTTATCAAAATGACCATCGCAATTGGCTAAAAGTAAGTATTTTAACATCTCTGCGGTAGCTATATTGGCACTTAAAAGTCCTTGTTATTCGCGAGTAGCTGGAAGTGGAAAACTGATGTCATTGGTATTTGTATCAGAGCAAGGAACGTGCGAATGTCGTAATTTGAATTCAGACTCCCCACTGTCAGAAGTACACCGCATTATTCAGCTTCTTTCGTCACTGGAAATTAAAACTTCACTTCATTCATTTTACGAAGATTGTAACAAAAGCAACTGAATTTCCGTTACACTGTTAGCTTTAAATGAATAAACGTTCTCAAGTAATAACTTGAAAAGGCATTCGGGACTGAGAAGAATTCTATTTATATCATAGTTCTTATATGGCTTCCTCCACTATCACAATTTAACAATTTCCATGCCCGATATGGACTGGCAATTGAACGAGTGGCCGTAATTTAGCATACGGCATATTCGCCATCGGCTCCCCTTTCCCCGAATAAATATATCAAGTTTGTCTCCTGCAGGCAAATTCTTCAGACGAAAGGTGAATTACACGAAGAGCGAAGCAAAGCATTCCAAGAGAAACAATCTTCTTATTTAAAATTGTCGATGAATTGTAATACACTGGCGGTACGTATTCAACGGTGTTATGTTCAGAGTTTGTAGAATAAGGTTTTTGTGTGGATTTGAAACTTTATCGTTTAATAATAACGTATAAAGACGAATAATATGAAAACTATATTGACAGGGTTGTAACCACTTTGGCCGCATTATCTGAAAAATAAGCAAAATTGACTTTGTTTGAAAATAGCGTCGCTCGGCTAATCGAACATTTTTTTAGTGGTGTCTCTATTCGAGTCCAGGTGGGGTCTCGGCTTCGAATTCTTGAAGAAATATCAAATCGGCCTGCTTTGAAAAATTTCGGGTTCAAGTTCAACTTTGGAGTTTAATTGATTAATGACATTTCGGTTTTTTCGTGACAATTAGTTATCCACTTATAACCACGATTTATGCGAATTTTACAATACCCTTCAATTTGTCTGTGTCGTATATCAATGTGTTGTTTATCCGTGGTTACTTTGTACATAATATGTATCGTAATATATTATATTTTATAGGATCTTTTGGATGTCGATGTTCCCGATTTACCGGAAGATGGTACGTAGTATTAATGTTTTTTGTTGATTGTGAAAATGGAGTATTTGAAATTTTAGATTTAAAAAAAATATAGTTTAAACGAAACTTTGATACGCCAAACTTTAGGCATACCAGATTTAAATAATAACACAGGAATCGAAATTATTGCCACTAGGTGTCGTAGTATTTTCTAATAAATTCTCGGCCTGGACTCTTACCATATTATTGAAAATCCTTCATTATGACTCACGATTAAACGGCTTATCCGTATACCAAACACTCAATCACTGAAAATTTCCGTCATATACTTTTCCAAGTTCATTACATGAATCACCCCAGGCCTATATCCGGCCAAATATAGACTGACATTGAAGTTGAGTCAGGTTAGAAAAATCGCAGAATGCATTTGAAAACTTATTTGGTGTTTTCAAAGTCTAGACATCAATCAATTACTACATCTGTTTGCTTCGAGTTTCCTCTCCCGACGCTAAATCGCGAGCTTTATTAGTTTATACAACCACTGTCTGTCCGACAACTATCGATTTAAGTTCGTATTGGCTTGATATGTCTCGACCCAATCGCTACCTATTAACGCGTAATGCACCTTACAGTAGCTTTTTGCATTTAGTGGTCGCCCGTAAATTCCCTCGGAGACGAGTGTCTTTTACTTCTACAAATTCACTCAAAGCCGTCTATAGATTAACTCATAAAATTAATCTTGGTTCGGTCTGATTTTCTTAAAAAAATGCAGCGATAGTTCAGCAAGCGGTTGCAACTATTGTAATAATCTATTTTGTCTTCTTCAAATTTGTAAAGTATGCAATAAATTTTGTCATCCCAAAAGCAATGAAAATCACCATGGAATCTTGCTCCCCCGAAGTGGGTCGACGTGAGTCGTTTGTTTCAATTGTTGTTGCTTTTATTAGTTGCGACAGTGGGACAGGCTTTTCAGGTTAATACAATCATTATTAAATTCTCCGATCCTATTGGTTGAAAGTCTGTAGAAAGTCGTTACTTTTAGTTTTTTTAATTAGTTCAATCTCCCACGCGTCCGATATTTTCCTTCAAATTTCGCGTTATTGTAATTCAGCTGACATCGCCGCGGTCAGATTATTTATATGATCATTCGTGGCCATTGTTTTCTTGTTTTTTGATTAGGTATTAACCTTTTTTACTATATATATAATTATACGCTATGCTAGCGTCTTTGCTATTTACCGCGCCGCGCGCTAATGAAAGTTTTACCAAAAATTGATTTAGAACTCGGCAAAATATATATCCATATAACTATAAGGTTCTAGTTTAATGCTAGTTAGTTGAATGTAAACGCGTTTTGTACTTTATAATATTACCCGAAATTTTGTATATAATTGTAGTATACCCAAGGTCCATGGATATATTAATGTTATACGACCTTCTCAACATCAGCTCATTTCCGCCAATCCGGTGAATTGCATGTTTTCGAACGATACGGCCCGCGTTTGTGGAATAAGGAATTTAATATAAATTTTACAACTTGACATTTTGATCGAATTAGGGAATAGCGTTACGTATTATATTGGGACATCTTGCGCACCTAGTGAATTGAGTCCATATGGTTCAAGAATATAGACCAATGGCGCACAGACGTTACATATCAATGGTATGATACATGCTGATATATATATTTAATTGTACAAACTCAAGCACGGAACCACGGAAGCGTTCGGTGGCCTTTTAGTACTTTTATAAGACTTTGTTCTGGGTTTATGCTTATTGCGGTTTTGGGGAAAAGAAGATTGGAATTTATTTTTTAAGGTTATGTATTGCGCTCCATCAAAAGTGTCTGCAATGAGCAGTTTCTCCTTTAACTGGTAATTTGGGAACAACTTTTACTGGTTGGATATGCCTCACATACTTAAAAAAAACGCTTCCAAATATGTTAAATTCTGGCTTAATTGAGTGTTTAGTATATAACAAAAGACAAATTAGGTCTTCTAAAAAGGACAGAAAAATGCAGTTCAAGTACGAAGTATCAGAACAATATAGATATAAAGTAGGATAAAACAGTTAATTTAGTTGACATTCACAGTAAATCAGTCTGGGTTGAAGAAATATGCATTGCCTGGCAGAAATATTCCAGTTCATACTCCGCCTAAAATAGTATGGTGGTAGGTGGGGGGCCACGATACTAGCCACAAAATTGATTTTAATGCAATTTCCTTCGCATACTGAAGGTTATATTGCAGATTGTTTTCTCTCTCTTGTGCATGAATTGTTTGATCATAATGGGATTGGAATCTACTAATCAAAATAACTTTATAAATACCTCTCTGCTCCATGGATTCCAACCTTTGTAGTTAGTTGGAAGGCCCTTTGACATGCAGATAACGATCGATCTTAGACTACTTATAACGACAGTTTCTCATGACTTCAAGATAGCGACGTAAACGTATTGTATGTGAAAAGAGGGGCCACAAGCCATAAAAGGTTATGGATTAGACTTAAAGCCTCGTTCATAGTGTAGGTGCGAAAACCCTTTATAAATCTACCAATCTGTTTATTGCATCATAATAACATCAAATTATATATTGTATCACAGAACTAACATCACAAGATCCTGATTCGTCTATAAATATCTACGATCCAGCAGTGAAAGGAGCAGAATTACTCGGTGAACAATCACCATGGGAAGATGAAGACCAAATGTCTTTTTACACCAATTTATTAGACTTGAAAGCAATCATTCCTGCAGTAAGTTTATTACTCATCTCACAAATTAATTTTAATAGTGTGAATGTGTAGTATCATTATGAGGGGCTTATTCCATTCAATATAAATGCAGTCACTGTTGGTTGCTCTGGTTAGACATCCAACCCTCTTTACAAAGTAGTAATTTTAGTCTTCTGTGTTCAGCACGCTACTTTTTTTCGCCTTATATTATATAATATATTATATTTATTATTGTAATAATCATTCTTATGCTTTCTTGTTAGTAATGTATTCGTTACACTTTTGCAAATTTTGATATCAAATTTTTTTTCGTGGCTACTACAGTTCTTGTTCTGCCACACTATAACTTAAGATCTACACCTCAAGCTATTACTGTAGCATAAGGTCTACCGCTGCATTTTTCTCCCCTAATGGATATCATTTAGATTAAGAATAAACACTTAATTCGTTCAGATTCTAGGACATAAATAGATATTGGTCACTCTAATCACATATGACAATATACCTCACGCTATTATAGTAGCATCCTATCCATGCATCAGAATCATTTTCTTGACGTTTACCCTACAGACTGTAACTTGTTTTTGTTCTATCCAGAAAAAAAAAACTAAGACACTGCTATGTGAGTTTTCTTTTTGTCCCTCATCACCAACTTTGTGGGTTGTAATAATCATTCTGTTGTCTGCCCTTTGATGAAGAATTTCAACCGTTTTGTAATAACTTTATTTGTTTTATTTTTATAGATTTTATTCAAGGACAATGCTGCAAACAAATCTGGTAAGAAGAGTCCAAGCAAGCGAACTAGAATGAAAAGTGGTTCTCAGGAGAAACCGATAGGACCAAAAATTTCAGGAAAGGGGTAATAGCTTCTGTTCATACTTTTAAAAAAATCAACTGTCTAACTCTCTCTGATATGTTGTTTCTGGTATTGGATTTGGTATAATATAGGATTTAAGACAGTAAGCCATCAATACTGCACAGTCAAATAGCAATCCAAGGCTTTTCGTTCAGTTTCAAGTCTGGATCTGCTGTAAAATTCATGATAGTTTAACATATTGTAGGTGCATTTAGTGGAGGAAGCTCTAACATGTGCTAACGTATAACAACGGATGGCAATAGTTGTTACTTTCAGATGTATGGACTTGAAGATAGAAGAAGTCATAATGGAACATAGGTTACGTGAACCACCCAACAGGAGCCAAAGGTCCACCAATCCTCCTGCACATAATTATACCACACAAGATTCGAATCTTCAACACCATGCAAAGTAATCAGAGCTACATTGTGGCATACAAGTTCAAATGCCCCGCAAACAAAAAGTTGAAATTGAACCATGGCACATCTTGTAACATGTAGCTAAACTTGCGAGTCCATCCAGGTTAATCATGGGTGCAATGGCAAGAGTGTTCCTATTTCTCCGCATTGTGCAGTAACCTGTTTAATTAGTGGAATAATGTCATACAACGCAAACAAAGCGACAGTAAGTCCTCTGAAAAAAGACATATTTAACAACATAATTTTTAGAAGATGTGTGATATAGTTTTTAAACATTACTAGGGAAGAGTCCATTGATCGAATCGCTGAGGATATGTCAGAAATAGACATCGGTCAAATAGATGACGCAGCAAAAGATGCTGTTCAAAAAGCAACAGAAGCTGCAACTGCTGTTGTCAGTGGCAACGCAGAAGAAAACAACGATGATGTAGATGAAGATGATGATGACATTGCGGAAAATGAAGAAGATATTGAGAAACAAGTTCTCGGACAAGATGACGGTAATTCTGCTAATGTAGTTATTATCGATGTTAGATTTCATACCTCTCGAAGGAGTTATGAGAACCACCACACCATGTGCTGCCGAGCCATCCTTCTGCACATAATTGTATCCCACAAGATCGAAACCTGCGAACCCACGCAGGGTAATCAGAGGTACGATAACAAGCTTGTTAAAACGCTCAACAAGATGCACCAATCATGGAGACCTTACATAGTGGATCTCCGCTATAGGAGACCCCTATTATCGGTCGTTCTGTCTGTGTGTCCAGCTCTAGCGTCTTAACGGCTGGACCGATTTACATGAAACATCACACGCGATTTTCCTGTTACCCTAGTACTATGCGTTTCGTAGAAAGTTTGGATTAAGCTTCGTTTCCACGGCAACAACGAAAATTCGCGTTGATTGTTATGAAATTCCCAATTTTTTCACAATTTATTGCCGTTTTCTTGTTAAACAAGTCAAAAATTGAAATTCCAAGAACTCCACCTTTTGCAGAAGAAAGTATTCTTTCGAATAAGTCGTCTTTTGTCTTGATACTCCATGAACTGGAGAAACCTTAGGGATTTTAGTGAACATCGTTTTAATCAATAGCTACAGTATATCATCACGCGAGAATGTCTACGAAACGCACAGGGTTAAAAATGAACTGGCAGTTTCTGTAAACTGCTCCTTTAATCACGCTGTCGTTATAGATCAGCAATTTTCTGTGGATGGTAACTGGTTGCTTAAGTGCGGGCCTCAACTATCAGCGGAGATCCTGGGCGCCTACCGGCTTGTTTCGATCCTTATTACAAAAATGTATGAAAATGTCGCTGTGTTATGCTGGGTGATTTAGTACTTATCTGGCTATTACTGAATATGAGAAAAGAAAATTTAGAATCGCGCCATCTTGGTTTTTTATCCGTCGAGGTGAATCCGTTATTTTTTTTCATTGAAGCCCATCTTTAAAACGCAATTCTGACATATGACTATTTTCTTTCTAGTTCCTAGTGAGTTATTGATGAAACTTATGGTGGTTTCTTATGGTGTGTGCAAACTGTGTGATGGATTCCATGTTTTCAATAATTTATATGTTTGGAGGACCTATTACAATGAAAAGTCACATACTATTACATATTTTTTAAGTATTCGAGATTCGATTAGAAAAAATATTCGATTCTGAAATCATCAGGTACTCAAAAATGTCTGAAGATAAAATAAATAAAAATAATAAATTTCCCTCAAATTTAAAACTTGCTGTACCAGCACTAGAGATGTACCGATGTATCGTTATCGGCAATATCGGCCATTTTTTCGGTACCGGCCATGTATTGGTATCGGTTAGATTAAGGCCGATATTTCCGATATATTTACCTTTTTGATGTGGTCCAGAATGTTTTAAAAGATGAGTTGGAATAGTACTTTTTAATTTATTTTTCGTCTGGAGAGATCGTGAGCTATGAGCCACACATGTCCCCACCCCCGCGAGAGAATAGGATTCATGTGTTTTAGCTATTTATCAGCCAAACTAGCTCAACTAATTTGGCTATTTTCGCTGTCAAATTTTTATATTGACATTTTTAATATTACATAGTTTTTATGAAGAAATATATCAACACAGCACATAACAAAAATCAACTAGGCGCCCAGTTTTAAATCATACAGTGGAATTGGGGTCCTTATTAACGGCACATGGACTTTTGGCATGGGTATAAATTCTGACTGTTTGTCGTCAAGTACGAGTGTCATTTAGTCCGTCGACATCGATAAACTAAATTCCGACACAATTATCCCACTACGCAGGTATTAATTTTAGTTCTGTTTAACTACACAATTTTCTTATAGATATATTGACATGACCGCCTAGACTGTCTCAAAATATAGCAATTGTAAAAAAATTATAAAATAGTAAAGTAAAAAAACATCCTCGACGGTTATAGGTGGGCCTTCTTTTTGTCGGTGCTGATTGATATTCTTTCATGTTGGTGTTGACTTATTGCGACGACGATTACGATTAGCCACTAAATAAAATATTTGTAAAATGCTTTTTGAACGTAGAACGGCGGCGCTAGAATGTGTGGGTGATATTTGATATTTTTTTAAACACGAATAACGATATTCGAAGGTCGCGATATCAACATTAAATTCAAATTGGACATCCCGGCTTATGAGTTTTCTAATTGAACACCGAGATTACTAGCGTTACTGTACAATGTATCTTAATCAGTTAAAGCATATGGATACTAAACATTAATTTCATATTATGTGATATATCTTTTTTTTCGATCTGAAATAATGTGTACTATGAACAACGCTCAAAGACTATTGTTTTAACCCGTCTGCCCTACACAGCACACCTAATTAAGTAATAATTACATAGTATCGGTATCAGAATATCGGTAATATCGGCCTTTTTGTAGTATCGGCGTATCGGTATCGGCATTTTTAGCTGGTATCGGTATCGGCGACAAAAGTTGTATCGGTACATCTCTAGTTGGCACATCATACTAAGTGTTAGGAATACACTGGCCGTTGGAGTGCTCTGCAGGTAGCAGGTTTAAATCCTTGGGAGATAGTTATCTGAAGGATTGCTGAACTTCCCGTAGGCTGTAGGATGCTTCATGTAACTGCTGATTGGTTACTGCTTCCTTCTACAAGTCCACACATCCTAAACAAATGATTGCTTAACTATTCCCATGGACTGGAAACTGGACGAGAGGCTGTGGTAGTTCACCATATGATTGAGCCATTTATCGACTTTCCTTTCTCCCAAACATTAAAAACGCGCCTTTAATATTTTCATTTATATCTGACATTCATTTATAAACCTAATACTGTTTGGAGTTTCCCTGTAAGCTGAATGACGTTGTGTTTTATCTTCAGAAACTGAAGAAGAAGATGTTAATCTTGGAACAACAATGAAATTAATGATGGAAAATTTCATAACATCATTGCAGAATTGCATCAATCGTGATCTTATTGATCGAGTCAGTATTTGGTTTATTTTATAATCAATGATAAATATTTGAAAGATTAAAAAGATATAGATATAGATTAAAAAGATATTGTTTATTATGATTCGTATATTTATACTATACTGCAATGTGTTTCACTATTATTCAACTCCGCTATGACTAATGTATGACTTTATATTACCATTTCTGACTTAGATATTTTGATTTTGAAGTTTTATGATGCTTTCTGGTCTCTATCTTCGAAACTTAATATAAATACTTTAACCTTCTATTCATGTATTATATAGCACAGAACATACCATAAATTCGTCTTCTATGTTTTTTTCAACCATTTGGCCTTTGACATATGTATATCAACCCCAACACAGAACGGTTGAATAAGTTTGGGATGAGTGGGGCAAATGTGATATAAGTGGGGGATATGTGTGACCTTTGGACCATAGTATTTATCAACCCTAACACAGAACAGTGGAACAAGTTTGGGATAAGTGGGGCAAATGGGATATAGGCCGGACAAAAGTGGGGGGTGAGTGTGCTAAAAATGGGAAGTTATTTTCGAGACGCTGGTATACCATTTTATTTACCATTTTTGTGATTTTGTTTCAGATCTGGGATTACCTTTGCCTTTCAGACTAACTTGTTGATACTTTTTGCTTTTCCAAAAAAAGCTTAATTAAGATACTGTACCAATTTGCCTGTTGTGGCCACTGGCCAGCATCGTTAATTTTCAAATGATAATTAATTCTAATCGAAACTATATTTCCCTCACACAGGCTGCACAAGATTTCTGCATGAATTTGAACACCAGAGTAAACAGAAGAAAACTTGTTCGAGCTCTTTTCAATGTTCATAGATCGAGACTTGATCTTTTATCATTCTATGGTCGTCTTGTTGCAACTTTGCATCCATGTATGCCAGATGTTGCTGAAAACTTAACAACTATGCTTTTGAAAGATTATAGATTTCATGTAAGTATAGCTGGCTTTCATCCTACACTTTTAAATTCCTTTTTCAAATTATCGTTTAACGACATTTATTTCCATTTTAAACGGTTAGTCTGCATTACTTGTTTTATTCTGCCTCATTGTATTGTCTCATTGTATTGTCTTCTAAAGTTTAATAAACTGTTATTATACATTTCCATCATTTCATCATGGTTTTGAATAACCAGTCGCTTTGATTGACAAATGTTCCAGCACAGGGTTCTCCAATCAGGAAGAATTTAATTGTTTCAGGGGAAGACTTTTACTTGTATTTGGTGTAGTAATATAGTATTTAATATTTTTATAATTTATGTTTATGCGCACATTACAAATTATAAATTATTCAAACTGACAAAAGCAATAGTGCAAGTTGTGAGTATCCCTATATAATGCTTCAATAAATGTTAAACAACGAATAGAAACAATATACTTGAGAGGGGAATAAATAGTTTCAAAATAGACACAGGAATACTGTATTGAAAAAGGTTGAGAACCACTTTTCCTCTTTTCTAGCAGTTTCTGACTGACTTAACTAACATCAGAGATTGAAGTTCAAGCCATAGTCAGTCCATTATTGATGCACATAAACTCATGCAGTAGCTAATTTTAGAAATGGTGTTTGCCATTCCAATATTCATCGAAATTTTTATTGCTTTCTGTTTCAAAATCATGATTTTAATTCTATTCAACATAATCCAATTATTCTGTTGTACACTCCTGTTTTGCAGATGCGAAAAAAGGATCAAATTCACATTGAAAGTAAAGTAAAAACAGTTAGATTCATTGGTGAAGTTACCAAGTTTGGAATGATTTCTCATTCTGATACTCTCAACTGTCTTAAAGTGAGCTATGCCTATACTTCTTATTTCATCATTACAAATTTGTAAGAGCTTTTTTGATCGAAATATAATTGTAATCTTAATATACCAATTAGATTGGATATAAAACCAGGTCCTTCATTGTCGTTTCAAGGACATAGTTCTCTGCAAACAGTCTGAATTTGCACCAGGTTATGCATCACCTGCCCTCACACCGCGAGTTACACTGGAATGGCTCGCCGGTCCCACAAGATTATTACTTGCTATCATCGGGTGGTTCGAATTTCTGTTGGTCAGTTTCGGCTTACTTCACTATCAAGTCCATTTATCTGAAACAAATAACTGGTTAACCCTTTCCATGCAATTTTTATTTTTTATTAAATAATCGTATTTGCTACGCCGATTTTATGCATTTGTACCCCCACAACTAATCGATCGACTAACGAAAAACTAATGATCTTCTGCTGCCCACTGACGGCTCGTTGGAAAGCTTATTTAAAGAGCTTGCAATTGGCGATTAAAAAAAAAAGTTTTTTTAAAAGTGGTGGTCTGAGTCACAAACCGAATAGAAAAAAGGCATTTTTTTCTTAGGAGTTGAAACTTCAAACCGTGATAAAAAATAGAAATATTCGCTAAATCCTTTACTGTTACCGCTTCGTGGTTGGCAAACAATAGCATAATATTGCTGTAGCAATTTCGTGATCTAACTCAGAATACTTTGGTAGATGGAAGGGATAATATGTCTTCTATTACCACCCAAAAAACACCGAAATTTGCATAAATTTCAAAAACACTCCCTCGTTCCTCCGCAAATAAAATTCCCGTCGTAAACGAAAGCTAGATTTATCGTCGCTTATGTTAATCTCGAAGAAGACTTCTTATCAATAAACTAAAACCCGGAAAAACTAGACCAACAGTTTGCGACCGATTGCTAAATAAAACAGTGGAGTACATCAACGTACCCGCCGCGATCTAGCGACTTTTGTCGTTGGTACGTATACGTGCCTACCGCACGGAAAGGGTTAAAGAAATCCTTACCGTAAGGCTATAGGTCGTGGTTTGCTATGTGTTGATCATGCTGCCTCATCGATTTCCTCTTCTTTCAGTATATATATGAAAATCCTACCCTATTCCAATGTTGTGCTAGCATTAGAAAAACTAGTTCCTTTGATTTTGTTTGAAGTATCACACATGTTAATCAACAGATTCCTCCAAAATTTTTCAAGCAAACATTACTTTGTAAAAAATTTCATATTCAAGTTTTATACATAAAGTCAACATAGCAGAACTTTTTTGATTTTTTAACTCTGCAGCAACTCATTCATGACTTCTCTCCTCATGCTATTGAGATGGCTTGTGGATTGCTAGAAGTTTGTGGTTGTTTCTTATTCCGCACTCCCGAGACTCATTTACTCACAAGAGTACTACTTGAGCAACTCATGAGAAAACGAACAGCAAAACCACTCGACACAAGATATTCAACCATGATTGACAATGCCTATTACTACTGTAACCCTCCAGAAGTTGAAAAGGTAACGGAAAATAAAAACATTTACAGTGTTTCATTCCACCAATCAGAGCTGGGAATTCTGTTAACAATTATAATCTATTCCAGGCCCCGGTTAATAAAACTGCGACTCATGACTCCACAGTCAATATATTTTCTCCCATCTCTATGTTGTAAAATATTTTCGACTCCAGCTCAGAACTTTGAGAAAATCATATTTTGATTATGAAAACTTTGGCATATACAAGTCTCATTGAAAGCTGTCCATAAGCTGTTTTTTGAGTTGTAACTGCAAATTTTGACCTATTCCATCACTGTTTTTCAGACGGGAGACATTCATTCCCGTATTGTTGAGGCAATGTATGGAGAAATAAGACACATTTATCCAACGAATTACGCAATTCAAGAGTCATGCTGCACAGTAACACAAATTCATTTCTGTAACGTTTCGTCTGACCAAACTCAGACCTCCTCAGACAAGCAGTTTAGAATAAAAATTCATTTGTGTTACTGTGCAGCATGACTCTTGAATTGCATAGCATAGACGCATAGGGTTTTAGTCTTGCGCAACCCAACTCATAATGTATCCAATTTGTAATAATTTCTATTCGCATGATATAGCAAACAGTTTTTGCAGCAATATGTTTATCATTATATTAAAATTGAACAAGTTAACGTTTAAGAAATTGTTGCAAAAATAAAAATCATTTGTAATTGACAAATTTTGTAATATTTCAAGAATGTAACTTCTTTAATTAAGTCAGATATTTGTGCATTTGAAAATAGGCTTTTTTATATGTTTATTTCTATCTCTGCAAAGGTTGTCCAGAAACCGCGACCACCTCTTCATCAATACATCAGGAAGTTGATCTACAAAGATTTATCAAAATCAACTGTTGAAAAAGTTTTGAGACAAATGAGAAAACTTCAATGGACGGAAGAACCGGTGAGTTATGCTTCCAGTAGGTTTTTATTCAGCAATCGTATGAAAAGTTATGGATAGCCGCAATGTTCAAGCACCAGGGTTGTTGACTTTCACACTTACCGTACTTTCCGCCAACTAAATCCTATTAATATTATTCTGAATCTGTATGTCTTTTGTTTAATTGCCTTCCCAGATTGGGGAGAGCTAAGCGAAAGTGTAGTTGGTGAGAGCTAACCGAAAGTGTAGCGAGTTATCCCAACTATCTGTCATAATTGTAACAAACATTATAAGGTGAAGTACGTTTTATGCTTTTGAAAAGTTTTTATGCCTTACTCTAAACAATACGAGACAACTTACTCTGTACAAGCAGCGCTGATATGTAAGCTGCTATTTTTTATACAATCCGGAATTTTCAATGAGCATGGGATTCGAACCAAGTACTTTAAACCAGCAACTAGGCTGTGGTGTCTATGGAAATCGATAATACCCTCAGATTCTGGGATGGAGAAACTTTTGGATTTGACGCTAGATTCCGGTCGAGACATTTTCAATTCCAGACTTCAAGTTGTACAAAATTTTGATCCCCACTGTAAATCTGATACCGAAAACTGTTAATAACATTGAGCAAACTTGATGCTTTTTGAATTATTGGAGAATATTTTGACTTCATTTACTCCCTTCGACAGTCGAAGAATCCTCTTTCGAGGAATTTGGAAATTTCGAATCTGGGGTGTAAAATACAACCTCACCAATCTCTGACTTCCGACATTCCACAGTCTTGCATGAAATGTTTGGTTCAATGGTCTACTCTAAAGTAAATAATTTTGTTCTTTCAATAGGTAAAGAATTATGCCATCAGGGTTTTAACCCAAGTTTGGAATGTCAAATTCAACAATGTACATTGTCTGGCAAGTCTTGTTGCAGGTCTTATTAGTTATCAAGATGATGTTGGTATCAAAATTGTAGACGATTTATTGGAAGAGATTAGAATAGGAATGGAGGTTTGTAGTTTGTATTGTTCATTGAATAGATGTGTATTACACTGAAATCTTGTTATCTGATCATTAGAAAGCTTCAAATCCAAATTGTGATTCAAATCCTATCAGGGATACACATTGGTACCTTTGAGACTGCTGAAGCTGTGTTGCACTATAGTAAGGTCTTTGAATGTCTTAATGCATTCAATCATAAAGAAATAAAAAATATGTTCCAGCTTTACTAAAAGTAAAACCACAAAATTTTGGTGAATTATTCAGACCCAGAAAGTAGTCTTTTCGCTGCTTCAGCAGTCTATAAATACTGGAAATTTTAAATTGTTTGATCCATCAACCTTGAAAAAAAAATTTCACAACCAAAAAACTAGAATTTGGAAAAACATTCTATAGGTCCATTCCATGTCCAATAATCCTCATCTCCAATACATAGTAATTAATGGTGGACCTCAATATATATATATATATATATATAGCTACCAGATTTACAAATTTTTAGGATCAAACCATATGACCACACCTTGCCCTGAAATGAAAAAATTAGGTAGGTATCAGCTTCCGTTATATCATTACCTTGCCTTTCTTAGAGTGAAGGTGTAAAGCACCACACATGGATTAATATGACTTAATCGTATGGAGAACACCGGTCTTTCGTTCCGTTACCAGTTTGTTTGGTATGGGAATGCATAGACTTTTGACATTTGCAAGTCATTTGTATATAACTTCATTTTATTATTTAGATCATCCATCCTCGATATAACCAAAGAAGAATAAGTGCGGCAAAATACCTGGGAGAATTATATAACTATCGAATGTTTGATTCAACAATTATTTTCAATACATTGTATTCATTCATTACATTCGGTGTGAGTTATAATCACATGAATCCATCTGTACTGGATCCACCTGAACATTTATTCAGAATAAGGTATGTTGTGATGGAATTCAAGGTTATACTTGCAAGTTTTTTAAAAGTGTTTTCTTTAATTCACTCTTGTAATAGCAGTCAATGAGCTATTTTTGGAAGGTTTGGAATTGCCTGTCCTATTTATTACATGCTAGGTGAGGTGGTGACCACAAGGTTTGAATCCGAGATCTTTGACTTTCAATGCCCACATAGTTTATGACCAACGCTTAACTACTAGGCCACATAGTGTTCCCTGAATTTATATGAAAGTAGATTAAAGTTTTTTTTCTAATCTTATATCAAAGTTAGTCTAAGTTATTATTATAACACCGGATTTAGGACAGGATTATTATAAATTTGACCAAAACTGGAATGATAGTTTATTCATGCATGTTCAATAATTGCCATGATAAAATTGAAATTATTTTTTCAAGATATCAAATGTTTTAAAATATTTCAAATAGAGCTTACCCCTGTTAAAGACAATATTTTTTGAAGAGAGAACTGATTTCTTCAAGTACTTTTTTGCACTGTAGTTCTGTACTTTTTTATTGATATTAAATATACTGATGGGAAATTTCACAGGCTTGTCTGCATACTTTTGGAAACATGTGGACAATATTTTGATAGAGGTACGAGTAAGAAGAAGCTGGATTATTTCTTGCAGTATTTCCAGGTAAGTAAAGAATTTGTGGTATTGTCAAATTTAGTCAAATTTCGAAGCCGAATTTTACCATCGGTTAAGAGACAAACTGTAATGATTCGGAACCCATTGCGTTACTTTTTTGAAACTAGTCACTAACCAGACTCGGCGGTAGGGCCTATCATGTTAAGCGGTAGGGAATATGCTTGCCACAGCACAACCCTGCTTGGGTTCATAGGTTCGAATCTTGTGAGGGATAATTATGTGCGAGAGGATTGCTGGACTCTTTGACGTCATATGGTAGTTGTAACAGCTAGTCGGTTACGGCTTTCTCCACCATCAAGTCCATGCATCAGAAAACAAAATCACCTTAAACCTGACATGGTAACAATACAAGAGGCCGTGGTTTGTCATATGATTTAGCCATGCTTGTGGATTTCTTCTCTCCCAGGGTATATATGTAATTCCTATCGCTTATAAGCAGTGATAGACGAAGATCCTTGCAAATTCATAAAAATGTGCTCTTTGTGAATTCACCAAAGCATATCATTACTCATTGCAGAGATACATCTGGTTTAAGAAGACTTCTTCTATATGGTCACAAACAACTGAAGGAAGTGAGAGTGAAGATGAACAGCAGACTTCCAAGTTTTTGAAACCTCCTTTCCCTGTTGAAATTGAGTATTTGGTGCAAGATACAATTGAACCACTGAGACCAAAATTAAAACTGGCTTCTTCTATACAAGAAGCTAATAAATTTGTGGCCGATGTAGAAAAGGAAATTTTCGCAAAACTTGGTACGTTGAAATTATGGTTGTGTAGACAAATTTTAATTTTTTTCTTCATTTGTGCAAATCTTGTAGATTCATAGTAGCCCTATTTTTTCATATAATTGTTTAATTGATTTCACTGAATAATGTGAGTCTAAGTTGCGATATGCCTAGACCTTATCTAGTTCGAAAGCTTGCTGTGGACTCAGAAAGTGGTTGCTATGACTACCAGCGCTACAGCCCAACCCCGTTTATAGCCCACTTCTGCATAGGCTTCTAAATTATGCAAACTGGGGGCTGGTTGATATCTATAGGAATTGACTCCAACGCTAATGTGTGCACGATTTGGTTCATGTATTTCATGGTTCTATTACTTCCATACCATATGTTCCAACATCAGCCTATCAATAAGTTTTAGGGCGTGTGTTAAATAATCATGGTTTAGAAGTATTACCTATTGCTAAATCAAAACCACCACAATACCGTAACCTAATGCAAGCAGAAAATGTTACTGATTATTACTATTAATCTTGTTTGGAGAAAAGAGTTACCTTATTTATTCTAGTATAACGCACAAAATTATGTACATGCACATTATCTGTGTAATACATGAGTAAATAGCAATAGCGGTGTATAATATGTTGTCAATAAATTTTTTGATATAACCGCATGTTTTCAACAGCAGTTGTTTCGTTCTATCCACTTCTCAACAAAAAATAATACAGTGCATCATAATGGTTGCGAGTTATACTCGCATAAATACGGTACCTTTCGTACAAGAATGTGATTGCTTTATTATTGCCTTTTTTTCGCAGCTGAAGTTGCTCCAAATGACAATTTCCATAGTCTAGGCAACATTCCTTCTAAAGAAAGTCAACCTGCAAACGTATCTCAGCAAGGTTTACAGCCTATTCCAGAAGACAGTGAAATCAGAGGTGGCCAAGTGAGTTCGAAGCCTGTTGTTGCACCAACTACCGCAACGACAGCTCCATCTGCTTTGGATACAAGCAGCCAATCAGGAACAAGCGATTATGATTCGTCAGATGAAGATGATGACAGCGGTAAAGATGATGATTATGATGAAATGGAAGTTAGAAAAACAAGGGTTGGTATGAATGATGACCACACTGAACATACGATGGAGGATGAAGAGGTAGAAATAATTTTTTATCTGAAATGTTTATTTCAAAGCCTTCAATTTGCTACTCGAAGACATCAAATTCCAATCGAAAAACTCAAATTATTAGTATATTCTAAGTCAGAGGTCAGGTAAACTCTCATGATCTGTTACACCCTTTCAAAGACTCTCAACACTTGTAGCGCCTGCTCTTCTATAAAAAAATAAAAATTAAATATCTGGTTTTGCTTTTTACTTGTTAACTGCGCTACAGTTAATAGGTTATGCCATAATTTAATTCAGAATTTCCTTATTTTGGTTCTATTATGAATTTGGGGACTGTCTGTGTTAGTTAGCCAAGTGAATATACCGTCTGCCCATAGGTTTCATTCTCTTCACACAATTTGATGTAAAGTAGGCGAACAAAAGTAGTTACCTCCATATTGGTGCATAACTTCTGGAGCGCCATGATTTCATCTCTTACAATAGCAGTAACCTTGTTTAAGTGACCTGCTCTGATATAAAGAGTAGTTGTGCTTTTATATTTGTGTAGTCTAATTCTTAATTTCATGTTCATGCTTGACATTGAAAATGACAATTAGGCAAAAAGACAAGCCAGTTTTAAAATATCATCCATTACTGAAAACTGATTTTGCCTTCAATTCATTATTTATTAAAGTGCATTGATGATGAAGACATTATAAAAACTGATTCAATGCAAACAACACCAAGAGGTAGTGTTCGTCATCTGCCATCCACCGAAGATGATGAGTTTCAGAAAGCACTTGATAATATTATGGTAAGTAGGTTGGTTAACACAATTAACTGTTAGTCGGTTACGGCTTCCTCCATCATTAAAGCCCTGCATCTGAAACAAATAACTGGCTAACTATTCTCGTATCTGACATGGACCGGACAAAAGGCTGTGGTCTGTCGCTTAAGCTGTCTCAATGATTTTTCTCTCCTCTGGGATAAATATGGAAATCCTATCCTATTCGAGTTTCAATGTCTTATTAATGAAAAGAAATGAATATAGTCGAACAGAAGACAATGACTACTTACATACCGTAACTCTAATTTCCCATAGATTGAAAGTCTTCAAGCTCGTAAAACAACTCAAGTGCAGCAACAAGATATGACTGTTCCTGTCAGTGTCAAAAAATCAATGCTGAAAAATGATAGTCCAGGAGAAGATAATGCTATCAAGTATGATCATTTTTATGTGTTATCAAATATATTTTGAGTTGTGACCGAGAAAAATGTACATCTGTCTCTGGCTACCAACTCCAGGTTGAAGGCATATTTCGACTTCATCTCCCAACTTGAAGAAATCCAGATTTAAGCCACATAAACTTACTTATGCAAGCTATCAAAAAGTGTCTGTTGAGAATTTTTAGTCAATTTTATGGTTTTAAGTTAGATTCTATTACCATATTGATTACTACCATTAGAAGTCTGATGTTTTGACTCAGCCCCAGGGATTTCAAAATACGCTATGACTTCACAGTCCTGAAATCATTATTATTATGTATATGCTAGTCAAAAACAACTTCAATTTTTGCAAGAGTTCGGCATCAATAAAAACTATCTCACCAAGAGTAGATAGCACCCGTGACCTGTCAAATATCTATGAAAGAGCAAATGAACAAGTTTCATTCAAAATTCGACTTTTGTTGCTACAAAAGTGTGTTTTTATAAAAATCTTGCCAATTTTGACCAGTTATTTCGATTCAGGTTTCTTCTTCTGACCAAAAAAGCTGGAAAACAAACCCTAAAACCTCTCCTAATACCCAAAACTGAACATCTCGCTGCGAGTCTGAAAGACAGAGCACAAGCTGAACAAAAACAAAAGCAGGAATTGAAGAAAATAACTCTTTCTATAAATGAAAGACAAGTCGAGGAAGAACATCAGCAAGAACTATTCAACAGCACAAGGTTTATCTACTTCATTTGTTTTACATAGTTTCAACAGAAAATCATTAAAAACCTCTTTAAATCAAATCTAAAAATATATTCATAGGTTGTGAGTACTACTATTTGGTTTGCCTAAATTCTGATAAAACTCTTTGGCAAAGTTGACACGTGTCTTCGAATAAACTAAAATGATTTCTGCTATTCATTACTCTTTTGATAACAGTAGCAGTTATGTCACATAGCCTAATTAATAATGTACCTTGAGACTAAGATAGTTTTTTTTTTATCCTGAGGGAGAGGAAAAGCAGTAAGATGGCATATACAAGACCTCTCGTCTGGCTTCTAGTTCATGTCGGTATGGGATTCGTTGGCCAGTCATTTGTTCTAAATGCCTGGACTTAATGGTGGAGCCGTAACGACCAACTGTTACTTCTGTGGTTACCACCTTACGACAGCAATCTCTCGCACATAATTATCCTGGAACGCCCATATGGGCTTACGTAACTATAGTTGTCAAATTCGGTTCTAAAAGGGTTATTCTGTCATGGGATAGATCCTGCGCAGGGTAATCAAGAGGTTCCTAACGCTTGGCATGATGCATCGTACTGCAATTTAAGTTTTTTGTTATCTAGATCTCCCCCTGCAAACTTGAATCGTGAGAGGAGACCGAAATATCAGCCACCGAAAGGCGCACCCAATGCCGATTTGATCTTCAACACTGGTGGAAGGTATGTTTTCAGTCGCATGGAATCACTTATCTTCTAAATCAATTATTGTTTAATGTTTATACATATATAGTACATGCATATAGCAGTAAATTGAGAAACAGGTTTATATTATTAGGGCCAAGTGAGCATTTATGAAGTAAATATGGTGTACAGTATTATTTTTTTTAGTTGTCATCTTTTGTTTTTTTATAATAATTTAGTACAGGCGCTTACACCTTCTGCAGCATTTTCAAATTCAAGTTATTAATTTCCCAGTGTAATATCACTTTTTAGTTTTCTTAATCGTACTATGAGACGAAGAGGATCATTCCAGAAAAGAGGTTATGTTCGTTATAGTACCTAAGAATCTGTCAGAATAACCTTGTGGAGACATCTGTAGAAAGGTAAACTGGCACATTGATACTCGTGACTACCACAGAGGTCAGCACAAGGGACATACTTATTCAGTTTCTACGGCATGAGAGACTTTATTCCTTATTTTGAAAGGTTTATACATTGAGATTCAACAATAAATATATATTTTTCGTAATAAGTTTGTAGTTTCTCACAGAAAATATTGAGTCTTTGTTCGATTTGAAAGGAAGTCGGTAGACATTTTAGCAGAAATCCCAGAAAGAAGCTTGAAACTTGGAGAATTCAGCTGTTTGTCACAAAGCATCAACAGGAAATAATTCAGTATAGCATAGAAAAGAAGTTTTTATCAGTGTTCCATAGTTCTATGACAGGCAAAGTTGCGGTCAGTCGCACAATTTTTTGTGATGTCTAATACAATAAAATCATCAGCGTGATTGCAAATGAAATTGTTCGCAACTGTTTTTCTGTGAGACTTTTTTTTTTTTTTGGAATGATCTCTGCAGGTCATACTTATATTACACTGACGATTGACCTTCGTGAATTCTAAGATTATCATGTGATAACAAAGACAAAATGCAATTTCATATAGCTGGTGGTCAACATTCACATGAATTTCGTATGCGCATATGCATACATAGATTTTTCACAATTTCAGCGCCATCGGCCAGTCTAAAATTTTTTAATTTCGATTAAGCTGAGATAAATGTTCAATATACCACTACAAATTGACAGTGCATTTCGGCAATTATTTTTTACACCGTTCAGGCGACGTTGATTAACCAAGTCACGAAAGAACCGCAACGGATTTCGTGGGAAATTTGAGCGGGTGATGAGACGTGATCTGGAGTTAGCTGATATGTCATGTGGAGGAGAAAGAGAACACTGGAGGAGCAACGCTATCGTATAATCATTCACGCAATCTATTATGGAATTTCAATCTGAACATGTAGTAGCATAGGTTTTATTTGTTGCTATTTAATAACCTGAATCAGAACAAGAATTTGGTAATTCGAAGTAACGTATTTCGGCAAAATAAAAGTACACAAGATAGAATTTAATTTCGATGTTTTCTGGCTGAGACTATTACTGGGCGAAGTAATAGGTACTCACAAATCTCTGTATAGTAAGATAGGTAAGGAATCCAAATTGATGAGATTATGACTTCAGTAAAAGTAGTGAAGACTGAATAGGTATGGATAAGGCATCAGCGCTGTCGTTCCTCTCCGTATATTCGGTATATTTTCAGATATGAACCGTATCCACCTTCCACTATTTGTCGGGGTAGTCTTTAGCTTATACAGTACAAATTGGCTTCCCGCCAGAATACCAACATAAATGGCTGCAATTTAGTAGTCAAGTGGTGGGACTATTGTGCTTATACGAGACGCATAAAAACATGTGCTTTGTGGATGTCGCTTCAAGATTTTAACATGGTTTGAAACATTCTGAATAGCTATACGTATTAGGTATATTTGATATAATAAAACAACACGTTCGATTTTTTCCTTATTTTTTATAATATTTGTAAGCTAATAACCATCTCTTTTCACAAAAAAGGAGGCACATTTGTAAGCTTTCGCTAGCTTTTAGTCCCAACTTCTTCAGATATAGCATGTAAACGCTAACAATAATACGATTCAGATCAAATGTTTGTCCCACTGGGCGCATGTACTGCTGGGGAGGTCGCCAAAAATTGATCACTATCATATTTAGTAGAGCGCGACCGATATATCGGCCCGATATTGCATGTTTGCCGATATATCATATCGGCATTAGTCGGGCTGCGTGCTTGAACGACTCTCGCCTTCATTTTGCGTTAAAAGGGTGTCTCTCCTAATGCCCGTTGGCGTAGGATTAGCCATTCCTTGAATGGTCATAACTGAAAAGTTATTATCAGGAGTAACATTCAAAATGACGTTTTCGAGAGAGTACACAACGAGAAAAAGGCAACTTTAGTATCGACAGAAAACGCTAGTTCTATGAATAAATTCGATTTGAAGTTATTGAGTAATCACAGAAACATGGTACATGTAACTCAAAACTGAGATTTATTGGGGTCCTTATGATGGGTATACCTTCTTCCAATGGAACTTGTATTATCCATCTATCACCATGACGAGTAATTGTGCTCTCGCATTTCGATGGCTGCTATACAGTAACAATACGGTTATATATATAATAATGTCATTAAACTAGTTTCGAATTTGTGACCTCCCTAAATGCAATTTTGAATTTCTTGGGCAACAGTTTTATCTATATTAATGGTTGTTTATCATTTTGCTGATAATCACACAAAAAATGGATGATTTATATTTAACTAAATAAGGTATTTAGAGTGCAATTTTCAACACTGAACAGTTTTCAAAACCGTAATTTTGAAGACCTCTAAATTTGTTGACCAGTTCATGTAGGCATGGGATCTCTTTTTATAACTATGGAAACCTGGTTATGCAGCATATCAGCAGTATTTCAGTTGTAACTGCACAGGTTAACAATTCTTGTTCCTGGAAAAGGGAAGACTGATATTGAAGTCCCGGGAAAAGTTACAGAATAACATTTGTTCAAGCATTATTAACTGGAGTAAGTTAAATAAAAGTCCCGACTGCAATGATAATAAATATCAAAACGAGAATATCGGTCAGAGACCCAAGACTTATCGATCGAAAGTTAGGGGATCCCCAAAACAGCGCTCTTATTCCATACTGACACCTTGTGTCCCATCACTAATTAATTAATGACTCGCTAATTATACGACATAATTCATTCAAAATCAATAGGCTCCTGGTCCGACATATGATGAATGCACGTGCAAAATCTTGAGCAGATTAAATCTCGCTTTCGTGAGATATCGCGTGCATCTAACAGACAGACATACAGACAAATACCTATCAACATACTTACCGATTAAAATCGATAAGTAATGAAACTACAGACTCACGACGAGGTACATCGTAAAAGCCGGTACATCATGAAAGCCCATTTTGTGGCTCGCAACCTGATTTATATTAATATTGGTATCGGTGGTATTGTGAAAACTGATATTGGCCGAGCTCTAATATTTAGGTTCTTTGGGTAGTCTTGTTGGATTCATCACTGGCTAATAATTGCAAAATTAATAACCTTCCAAAACGACTTTTACACCCAGGTTCACAAAACTACCGCGCCTCCACGCCCCCTATTGGCAAATAATATATATGCGATGTGATTTCCTTCAATTACTTTATTTAATCGTTTATAAAATTAGATATAAATCATAAATAAGGCACTAATATCTACAGGATAAGACACGAATTGTGGCTTAAACTGTGAGCTTGCCACTATGTTTGGATCACCAGCCAGTTAACCTCTCCGCCGTGCTTTCAATTACACGTTTTTACATCTTGCGATCTCTTCTTGTGTCATATTGGGAACGATTTTCAATAGTTCCTCGATGCCCGTCTTCATGTCGACTTTCGCTTTGTATCCGAGAGAACGTATTTTTGCGTATGACACCTCGTAGTCTCTCTTGTCCAGATCGGTGCCGCTCTTTGATTCCGTAATACAGCACCCGGATACATTAGCTTCAATCATCTTCGCTACATCACGTTTTGTCATGTTCATGGATTCATCACCCACGTTGAAAGCTTGTGCTGTCATCGACCTGTGATAATAAAAATAGATGACTTAGTTATAGTACGATATGGTCAAATTTGATATGTTATTGCATCTTGTATTACAACAAGAGAGCAATGATCGAATATATGGGCACGAAAACCAAAACGAAGTAGTATGAAATCTTACAGTACCGGTCCGACTGCCGACTTCACTGAGCACCAAGATCGCAAATATGCGATATTTGAACCGCCATTTGGTGCGCAATTTTTAATTAGTGAAAAACAAATCCTATTGGCGAAACAGAACTTTTTGAATAACCTCCCGACGACAACAGCGATCTTTAAACCGTCGAAACGCTCGAAGAAATTGGAGAGAAAGTCGACTTTTCACAACAAGAATAAATTTAAAAAACAATTCACAGGTTCCTTTTCGTGTCCAATAATATATTCGTCAACTCAATTTCATTGGCCTCCCATCGCATTTTAACGGACGTTTACGCCTCGAGCGATCCACTTTTGATGCATAAAACAAAAATTGATCCTAAATCTATTTTTCCTCCACGCGGATTTGTGTCATAACCCGTAACAAGAGCTGTTTTATAGTCAGTCGCGTCATTACTTATCGATCTTAAGATCGGTAAGTATATTGATAGGTATTTGTCTGTATGTATGTATGTCTGTGTGTCTGTTAGATGCACGCGATATCTCACGAAAGCGAGATTGAATCTGCTCCAGATTTTGCATGTGCATTCATCTTATCTCGGACCAGAAGCCTATTGATTTTGGCGAATTATGTCGTATAATTGGCGAGTTATCAATCAATTATTGATATAGTGATCTAGATTTTTGTAAAGCGAGAGAATTTTGATACCCGCCGAGTGTGTGTGTGCGATGCGCAGTGCGCAAGTTACAAGAGCGGATGAATCGAAACTGCAGTTTCTGTTTTGGGGGATCCCCTAACTATCGATCGATAAGTCTTCGGTTTCCAACCGATATTCTCGTTTGTATGTCATTTACTTGCTGAACGTGCCTTTTGCTATTCGTAATTATCAGTTTAGTATATATATATTTTGATTTTCAAATTTGGCTAAGAATAAGAATAAACTTCGTACTCTCTCGTCAGATCGTCATTTGAACTACGTACTGCAGGACAACGAAGTTGTCAGTTGGTCTTGAAGCTTTGGCCAGCACAGAGAAACAACGGTTCCATTACATTTGAACCCACGTACATTTGAACCCACGACAATTGTACCTGCATGCCATTGCACCGATGGAATTATTTTGGTTTTACGGATATTTGTACCCACACTAACCTAACCCATGGGTTTTAGCACCCGCATATTGATTGAACCCGCGGATATACACGTGGGTTGAAATGTACATGGGTTCAAATGTACGGTCACCAAAAACAATTATCTTTCACATCAATGATAAGTGAATAAAAACAATGTATTGTGTTCGGTAATAATCAAGAAACGACAACATACACGTCTCGATGTGGTCGACTTCTAACACAGAAATAGTCGCGAATGTGCCATAATTTGATATTTAAAAGTGGCGATTGTTCGTAGGCGTAATAAGAATGCGGCCCGCACGATATCGAAAATCTGTATATATGGCCCGCTAGTATATGACATAGCAGGACGAGAAATATTTTGATTGTAATGCGGTGGTTCTCTTCAGTCTACAGTACACAATACAATAGGGTAAATATAATAGCTACAGCAAGTATACAATGGTGAAGTGCGCGTTCTGACTGATTGGAGGAGATGTTTGCATGAGCACGTTCTTTTTGTTGACGCGGTTCTATTGGATAGTCTGCTTGAAGTACCTCTTTTGCCGAATAATATAGTGTAATAAACGTTGATGAAATAGTCCTAAAGTTGATGAAATCCGGTAAAATACACTGCTTTCTCACAAGAGTGGCCAATAATAACTATATGGAACAAGGAAAACGTAATTATTGAATGTAAGTGTAAACTAAGCGTAATTGGTGAAACTAACAATTTCATTGTTGCAAGTTGCAAATTAAACATACATACCCAATCGCCCAATTTATAAAGAAGATTACCGATATAATTAACAAAAAAGCTTTATATACACACGTTGTCGTAGGATAATGATTACCCTCGCATTATATGTAAAGATTAAACAAACATACCCATAGTGTTGCAGAGCAAAAACAAACGCCCTTGCTGCATCTCTTACATGAAGGAAAGTACGGCGGAAACCACCCTCGTAAAGATCAAAGCTTCTTTTCGACACCGCCTTGTTCGTTAAATCATTTACCAGGAGATCAAGTCGTAGGCGAGGCGAAACCTGTAATCAGTATCGTGGTTAATCTATGTCGATTATAATTTTGGATGGTTTAATATTTACTGCTCGAGCCACGCGTTGTTCGAGGCTGGCGACTTTTTGCCAAAAGGATGCGATGACGATATGTTGCCCTGGGGCCTTCCACAGCCAGTCTCGTTTATTTTATGGTATTTCACATGGTGATTATTTTGAGAAATGAAACGTGGAATTACTGAATGTTCCCGAACACTGTTCAATCACATTTTTCGTTGGAAGTTTTTTATTCTTTTTTCAATTGCGAGACAGTCAGAACTTGAACACAGGCTGTAATATACGTCAGTGTTCTAACATGTCGTCATTTCCTCGACAGCGAAATTAGATGGCGCTTGCACATCTATCCTATTAATTTACCTAATCCCAAATCTATTCGGTAAGAATTCTTGAAAATAGAATGTCATGGTGAGTTTATATCTCGGTGGTATTCTCGAATTAAAAATGCTTCGTCATTTCTAAATTCGTAACTGTCACATCTGTCACTAAATTATTGTAGGCGTCATGCGGTGTCTCACTATTTTATTTCGCAATTTAGCGAATTACTGTAACATAAGTGACATTTATAGTTTTTAGTTGGCTTTTTTGCCTACTTCTTTTGTAAAGATTTCACATGATTTTTGCAGTGAGGCAGAACAATTCACATATAGTATTTGTGCAATGCAGAGAGAAGTCTCCTTTACTTACCCCAAAAACTGTCGCCAATCGCAAGCCAACACCTCCAACTTCCCTGATGAGTTTTTCTCCATCGGCTTTTGTACTTCCGTATAAAGTCAGCGGACTGATAGGTGTTTCTTCGGTGCAGACACCTGTAACTGCTCCGTAACACGAACCTAGAAAATATTAGAATATTTAATCACTGATCAATCAAATGGACATTTTACAAAAGTCAAAATTTTGCACTTCGACCATACAAACAATTTTCAATGTGTATACTGGCTTTGTTTTTGATTTATTGCCCACTTACGAACCTTCAAACTTCTGAGAAAAGTACAACACGAGTTTAAAAGAATAATCGATCACGGTCGATTCAATAGACTGCCAAGTTATTTATTTATTGACAGAAAATAGTGAAACATTTGTAAGCCAATCACATTCGTGGTTTGAGTTCAAAAATTGAAAATTCATCATCATTGTGGATTTCGCAAAAGTGATATATACAGCAGATGGAAATTTCAGATTTCCATATTAGAGATGTATCGGTATCGGCAATATCGCTTTATTTTCGATATCGGCCATTGTATCGCGTGGGTAATCCTATGCTTTATTGTTGCCTTTTTGTGATTTCTATTTGCATATTTTATTCGAAGTTAGAAAACCGTTAAAACCCCATCTAGACTAGACGTCGTTAAATCTCCTACACTATCGTTTCATGATTTCATTGCAATACATCAGACGTCGTTAAAACCACATCTAAACACCGCTAAATCTCGTAAACTATCGTTTCTGAATTTCATTGCAATGCAATAAATTCATTGTACAATGTACAGCATTACTGATATATATTTGTGGGATTGGACGCAATGAGTGTTCGCGCGTTTTCGAATAGTTTTCCAAGGATCGACAGGGCCAGATAATTTATTCACCCCCATATTCAACTTCTGTATTTGCCAGGATACATAGAAAAGTTGTTACAAATGTCAGTTCGATTACATTGCATACAAATGATATTTATATTGAAAAAAATGATCCTCCACCAGAAACCTATTTTGGGCCTAAATTCTAAAAATATATATTTCTTACCCTAACTGAGATGATATATCAAAATTCGGTCAAAAATGCTACATGACTATTACATGCCGGCGGATGTGTAAAGGAATTCTGAACATTTACCACACACAATAGAGACAGTGCGTGATGTGTCTCGTAACTCATGGATAACACTATACACGTTTTTATATCGTGCTACTGCAATAATTCGATGGTATGCATTGCTCTTCCAAGAGAACTCATTTCCGAAATTTCAATATTTTACATATTCCAAACCTGTTGATGCATACACTATTCTCTGGCCCGGCTTCATGTTTTGTACTACGTTTTTAGTTCCCTGGACATTTACAGTTGTTGCCAGTTCTGGATCTTTTGAACAGGCTGGGTATCCCACAATTGCGGCCAAGTGAATGATAGCGTCAACATCGGCCATCACCTGAAAATTTAAATTTATTTCTTTATCAATATTCCCTAAAATAAAATAAAAATTACAACTTTATACCACATTTATGTATCAATGTACTTTGTCAGCAACAGATTGTAATTTCAAAGCTGACTACTGGTTATATATATATATTTAAAGTATTAATAAGAATGCGAAAGTGCTAATTTAATTCAATTACCGTTTTCAAGTGATCTTCATCAAGCACGTTCCCTTTTATCACAGTGAGTTTGGGATGAGAAGCTATTGGAAGCAGCGGTGCGATTCCCCAGCTGTAAAAGAGTACCAATGTATTCAAACTAAATAATTAAATCAAGGTCCGAATCAATATCGGGCCGTTATATAAAAAATGTAATTTTGTAAGTGCAAGGATATAGCGAAGGAGCTGTCTATTGTTGTTATGAAAATTATGAGTTACCACAAACTACATCTTTTGTACAACGAATTTAAAGTTATTATGTTGTAAACGCCTATTGATGATAATTTTTGTCATATACAAGATTCAATGTTTCACAAACCTGAAAGAATCATACACGATAACTTCATATCCATCTTCCAACAGCATAGGAATCATCGTCGAACCAAGATATCCGGCTCCTCCGGTTACAAGAACTTTTTTGATGTTTTGATCATCACGCGGAGCAATTGTGGATCCCGACATTTTGTGAAGGAAATTTGGTTTCGAATTAAAATTTATAAACACGTTGATCTGTTGGAACATGAAATATATATATATATATATGATTTTTTTATATAGTTTCAGTGAAGTTTTTCGTTATTTGATAATGTCCATACGTTTTCTGGACTTTTTCGTGATAGTTCAAGCGTCGTCTTCAGATGCGACTGCTTTTGGAATAGTTAACGTTGTTGGAGCAGGTCTACTCTGTACACAATATTGTTTTTTATCTAGATTTCTATCTCCGCTAGTTCTTCTAAAATATTTCTCTACCAAATCAGCTATATTTCGAACAACTAGAACTAGAGCAGCACAATTTCCCGGCTTTTTTCTACATCTATTCCCTATCGACGACATCAGGCCGCGTGACCGCTATTTTACCGGAAATGTAAAACGTGTAAGAGCTGGTATCTATATGAGCTGTCTATATAACCAAGAATTACGACGTTGCGAAATCAATACTTTGTCTTTATCTTACTTCACAACCTGTGACACAGTACTGATTCCAAATATGCTATTTAATCTTATCATTAGCATGCACTTTCGAATTTAGATTTCTAAATGAGAATTCCTATTTCTTTCCTATAGTATTCTTCCCGACGAATTTTAATTAAACCGACAAGAGGCCATCAAGTATTTTTGGCTCTTTTTATACGCCATTCCACGACTGACGACTTACGTTACTAAATCGCCCCGGGGCAGTTATGTATTTTCTCTTTGCAACGTGTGTCTCGTGGAATCCTATGAGTCGGGCGACCTCGAGGCGTGTCACTTGATGATCAACTTATATTATGTTATTTTTAAATTAGAGTATAGTTTGTCTCACCGGGTTCAGTAAATCGGATTAGGTAAATACACCAATATCCAGGGCCGACATCCCGCCCTAGGCTCTTCAACACTGACCTCCTAAGAATTCATTATGACGTCACAACAGACTTACACACTAAGTAAAACGCATCGTAGTAGCATAAATAAATTGTAATACGGAATTTCAGTTACAGGCAAGATACGTACGCGAATCACCCACGGCACCAAAAAACCGACGTCATGCTACCAGTTTCTAGTCGCGAGGGGTCCCGTTACAGGTAAATGAAACATTACTGATAAACAGTGCTGAGAAGCTGGTGAGAAATCAGGCTCCAGTTCCGGAACCACGTATATTAGAACTCTGACTCCTGCTCCAGTTCCGAAGATTCACAACTTTACCTTGACGCTGAGCTCCTGCTCCATATCCATGTTTTTTTGGTATGAATACTATACCATGAAGCATCAGCCCAAATTTTAAAATGAGCCTCTGAAGTTTTAAATATACAAATTTAACTTTATATTTAATTAAATAAGCTTAAAAAATATAAGCTGAAAAGGATAGTTTTATGAAAATTCGGTGATTGGGAGTTGTAGCCACTAAATTTTTTAATAGCTCCGACACTATCTATTATGGTAAGGCTAGAGCTAAATCATCCCTAACAATATGTAACGGGCTCATGGCTGAGGCTCTCCTGACCAAATGAGGAATAAAATTATCATTTCTTTTATTGATGAAATAAACGAGTCTATGATAAAAAAATATCCAAAATGTAAAAAATATAATAAATCATTAGATACGTTGTTGCTCAAATAAATCAGTATAGCTATATATCGGTATTTTCATATCTTTTTCAAGAAACAAATGCATTGTTACGGTAAAACTGTTCAAATATTTGAATTATCATATTCTGTTTTTAATGTCTAATGAGAAAGTGTTTTAAATCTGAAACAGTCATTTATTTGACCGTGTTTATTTCTCATCCTTTTAATCGGTGAATGATTGAGACAAGAATTATGAACCAGATCAAGAAAATATCAGTTTTATAAAATTTTCTTAAAACTCTTATTCGGGAATTTTGCATTTGAAAAACAACCAAAAAAAGTAATAATAGTTTAAACTTTAAAACCGAGTTCTTTAAGCTGCTCAAGGCACCTAGACTTCATCCTATCTTGCCTATTGGTAAATCCGACCTTGTCGTTATCGCTCCGTTTTCAACGTCACGTAATAACATAAGGACAGAAATAGTTACCAATAATACAATATGAAGGCCAAGTGCACCGAAAGGGAAGGTATGAGTGGTTTCGTTTTCGGTAAATATTTACTTTTGTTTGCTTGCCTATTGTTTCACTATACTGATAGGTAATAAAATGTTGGTATCGTCGCGTTGTAAGTCAAATCAAATATACAGCTTATTAGCAATTCAGAAAATATGAGGCTCCCTATATATATAACCCTATATATTAATACTTTATATCCTCTTGACTGCAAACTGTATTCATACGGATAACAAATAGACAAACGCATGAAATGGATCTAGGGATCGTTTTGTTATTATGTTATTCTTGGTATTTATATTTCTATCGTTATGAAAATATCGTTTTTCTCTTCAACTAATGGACTAATTGCTTTGAAATTTTCAGTATGGTGAAAGATTATATTTTTTCGCTAGAAAGCTATTAATGTTTTTGTGTCCATATATTTGAGCATAGCTCTCTTGTTCTTATGATCATTCCTCATGACATACATCTCAATTGCTATTCGTAGAATTAGCCAGATCCAACGTTTTGGCGTAGCAATTGCCGTCATACTATGATCACGATTCAATGAACAATTCAATGAATTGAACATTCTGTCCGATTAACACACAAAATTATACTCCGTTACTAAAGGTCTAGTTACAAATGGCGCAATACACCGCGTGGCTATATCAAGTCGCGCGCTGAAATTGCTAAAATGTAATCCTCGGAAATAATATCCTTGTAACACACCTTCCAATTGATTCGCCAAATTTATTTAGGTGAGAATAAAGTACAGGACGTATCAATTAAATGCAATGAATGCTGATCAAATGAAAATCATTCTTATACAATAGTTGTTTGTACAATAGTTGTAGCCGATGTTATCCCAGAATGGTCACTATTTGTGTGGGATGCAGGTAGGAATATCGTCGTCAAAGGTTCCATCTTTCAGACATGTGACTTTATGAACGCCTAACATTTCGTAGTTATTTTCACATTCAAAAACAACCACAGAATCAAACGGTAGGCGTCCGTTTTCCGCTCCAAATGTTTCCACAACCCGCCCATGTTCTGGTTCAACAGGAAGATCACAGTAGATACCTTCAATAAAAATTGTAAAAAGAATTATTCTTTCTCGTTCCATGTAGAAATATTTCCTTTCTAAGTTACAAAAATTATATTGAGCACGACGACCATTTGAAGTGATATTGCATCAAGTTTAAGTGATGCCTTTGGAATATTCCTATACTCTATGCCAGGGGTCGGGAACCCATGTCTCGCGAGCCATATATGGCTCATTTAGTGAGAGCCTATGGTTCCCAGAAAAATCTAATATTCCAAGGTCAAGCTTACTATTGTTACGAGATTTCAAACTCTTTTATAGCAAAATTTGGCAGGAAATTTGCCAATACGTTTAAAAACACGCGCCGAGCGCATGTCTCTGTTATGTGGGAGAATTACCAGATAGGCATTGTGACACAACTAGGGGATTCTGGAACATATTTTGTGACATAACAAAGCGATAGAGTAGTGGAGCAATAGAGAAAAGCTTTTCGTCCGTTTGTACGTACTGGTTACTCAACTATTTTCACTAAAGGGCTGTACACAAAACTTAAAAATTACCGGGGTCCGGTCATTCCAAAAATATATTTTAGCTATGCAAACAAAATTTCAAATGTATCGTTTGACGAAATACGCTACGAGAGCAATACTCAATATCGCGATTCGATGTCAGTATGACTGGGCTTCACTTGTGTAGCTGAGCGCCGACTTTGCTGAAAAGATATGAAATATTCGTCCCCATAGCACCCGTAATAATATATATATTCAAGACTGAAAATTTAGAACACATTAGTTGCGGAAAATAACTATTTTTTATTAGGAAAAACCACAACGTCACAAAAATGTTAGCAAAACGATGCGGTCGCTAAAAGTTCAGTTTTTACGCCCCATTCACATCTTTCTGATTAGTTAATGCTAAGGAGGTAAACAAGTGAGTCGATGCTCTGAAAAATGATATTGCTATGACAATTTTTTCTTCCTCAGTGGATTAGCAGAAAACGCATTACATTACGATTTCGAAAGGAAAAGAAACGATGTATTCGAAGTCGAGAAGCAGCTGCGGTCCAAATTTAATTCTCGGAAGGTTCGGATTCGGACCGCGGTCCGCCAGTTGAGTAGCCGTGGGTTACAGTATTTGTCATATTTATATCAGACTAGCAAAGCTAGTTTTTAAAATATTACGGAGATGCCTGAACGAAAGAAGGGAGATAAGTATTGTAGATTTCAACTTGTGCTGCATGTGAGCAGCCGTTTAAGGCCCGCAGTGACAACATGCAGCGTCAGAAGTCACATTAAATGTATATTGACATTGTATATGTGTTGACCTTTGAGTAAACATTTCAGGCCTGATTAAGTGAAGAAACTCTATATGGCTCGCACGGAAATGCAATTGAAAATATGTATTTTTCATGGCTCTCTTGACCAAAGAGGTTTCCGACCCCTGCTCTATGCCTTATATTCTATTTAGTCTATGACGTAATAAAGTCAGCACATCCTGTTATCAAGTCTAGCCCGCCTCATAGAACATTCGAGAAATAGTCGACGTGGGAGACGCTTGTGTTGGAATTCAATTTACTTTCCTCTAAGTCTAATACATATTGTGTGAGCAATTGAAGTCTTTGTAACTTATAATTCAATATCAGATTTATTCTTGATGTGTCTTTTGCATTAAAGGAGGTAAGACAAAAACTATGGATGCATAGTTTTGCTTTATTTCTAATCGTTGCGGAATTTGAACCTACGTCGGTATCCAGAGTGAATTGCCGCCGAGTCAAGTATATTCTCCGTTATTGCATTATTACACTGATTTTTAATTGGCCCGTGAGTTATGTTTCATGATTTTTCTTGACTTTATTTACACAAAGCGTCTCTCTCATATCTCAAATAAGCTGTTAAAACGCTATGCCTTTGGTGTAGGTTGGCGATAAAGCGACGCGATGAGAGTGTAAGCAAAAATTTTTTTTTAATTTTTGAAATTATCATTCCGACAGCATGTGTATCTGTCAAAAAGCACCATTTGCCGATGCAAACAGTATTTTGATAAAAAAATAAAAATGTTACTAAAATAGTTAATTTAAAACAAGTTTTTTTTAAAAAACTGGCCGTTTTTTAGAAATAAAAAAAAACATACGTGTGTGAACGCCCCGCCCCGTACTTGACGAATTTAACTCTGAAACAAATTTTTTTCTCAGGGCAAGTCGTGAGAAAGTACTAACACCAACCGATTTTAATACCGACTTCCCACCTGCTTGCAGACCTTTTTCAAGTTTTGTTGAAAATTTCGACTCCGGTCACAGATTTTTAGACTAGAACCCCAGACGAGGTGAAATTAAAAATAGGACTCCGGTTACGAATCCGCAGCCTATACTATTGATATTTTCATTTGAAATTTATTATAATATATACAAATGCCTCCTCTCTCAATTTCAATAAAATATATTCGAGCATATTACCTCTGCTTGCGTACGTAAGTTTAAATCCTTTCATCTCAGTGACCTTATCCGAATGAAATTGTATTTTGACAATGTTTCCTGTAGACACAATTGTATTTGGTGCTGTCGGTCCACAATGTCCGTTTGATAATCCCGATCCGACATCAACCTGACAAAAATGTAAAAGAATTCTATCAGTCCAATTAATCAGTAATTTATTTTATCACCAATGCCTAAAATACGTAACGTACATATTCAATGTAGAATGAAATGAGAATAGCATTTCGGGGTGCAGTATGAGGCGAAAAAGCCAATACTGGTTATCGAGCAGCGACACCCTATACGACATGAAAAAAATAAATACAAACAGGAAGCATAAATAAAATATACATATAGATACAAAATATTCACAAAAAATATTTATACACTAGATACGTTTGAATATGCGGAAGCGGTCTGGTAAATCTAGAGACGCTTGTTCATGTAAAAGAGTGACTCCATGCACCATCAAGCGAGGTAACCACGGGAACGACTCAGTTGAGACACTGGCGGCAGATTTGTGCCTAAGGTAGTATCAATGAATTTATTTATTCGTGAAGAAGATGGTTGATATAAATGAGGGATCTCAATGACATTTGAGGCAATATCCGGTTTAGTTAGGACGTAATTTGGTAACCTGGTACTTCAGACTCTGAGTTACCAAAAAAATTGTGACTTCGTGATTGTGATTATAAAGAAATAGAATAGGAACATAAGAATGAAACTGCTGTCTGATATCCTGCAGAAAACAGGCTCACAAATCTATCGTCAAACTACGAACCTCTGTCGAACCTGTAGGTAGCAAATGAGAATCAGGTTATGAGAAGTGAATATATTTGTGATAGCGTTAAGTATCATTCCGAACAATTCCGCAATTTTTTTTATAAATAAAAGATCGTTTCGTCGTTCCCGCAAGCTAAAGCCACTTCGTTACCTCATTCCACCGATATAAACATGAATCGCCAGTCAAAAACATTCCGGTATTGCTAACCAAATATCGAATCATGCGAGTGAATTACAAGATAAAAGTAAACATTGAAATAACTACTATCCCGTTTAGTGAAGAGAATTTGCTGGTAGCGCATGATAGGAGTTTCTTACTCTATAATAACAAAAATTATCTTACCTTGAGCCAGTCATAAGGGCAGACTATCGCGTTGTAATCTTCAATGTCATACTCTTCATCGAAAGATAATTCGATGACTTGGCCGACCTCCGTCTAAACAAATTTATAGTAATATTGATAAAAATGTTTTTTATGATAATGGACACGCTTTCTGTTTTTATTAAAGATTTTCTCTGCCACGAAAAAAAAATTGATACAAGTATTCGTCCTTTTTCTGAGCCAACTCAAAATTTTGGTCAATGCCGGAATTCCCCACTACCTGGCAGTGTTTTGGTAAAGTAATGAAGAAAGAAACAAGTCACGGGGCTTTTGTGATTGCCCTAAAAACATATTGCAATTTTTGTTACATTATCGGAAAATTTAGGTGTAGCGTTTATGCTATTAAAGTTAATATTGTGACTATAGAAACCTAAAGCCCAAATATTGCAAAGGCGTACTATGTCATTCAGTATAGAAAAAAACTTTTTTATCACTTGATATTCGCCGAAAATTTCGTAAATTGGGACTCTGGTAAACAATTTAGTGCAAACCAAATAAAATCTATCTTGTAAGATCCAGCAACGATAACGAACCTCAATAGTCCAGTCACAATCAGTCAACTTCGGATAAGCGTCCGGATAACCAGGGCTTGTAATTACACCGGAAGAACTGCTGAGTCGAATTCCAGAACACTTTCCTGTTACCGATTGAAGAATTCGTGAATATCACATACAAAATCGTGTAAAAATAATGATAAAGTTGAATATGCATGCTAATCTGAGATTTGTATAGTCAGTTCACATCGTTATTGTCAGCATATCGGCGCGATCAAGACTCGTAATTACATATTTCACGTACCCACACAAGTGTATCCGTCTTCATGAAGTTCGTAACCATCCTTGCAGTTGCAGGTATATCCACCCATGTAGTTGATGCAATGATGATCACATTTTCCTATTTCCTCTGGAAACTCTGATTCATCGTATTCTGCTTCGAGTTCTTGGCATTCATCTCGGTCTATAACATAAGGCCAAATAATAAACTAAATTTCAAGGTCAGTTTTATTGTAAGGCACGGCTTATACTTTATCTCGAGGCCTGGGCCTGGAACAGTATATTCACTGTTTAGTATGTATTTTGAAATCTACGGGTATTCTAACCCGGTTTGTTATAGATTAAATAGTAACCTCCAATATATACTTATTAATGATCCAATTGAACTAAAATATATATATATATATGAATGATTTCCAACCATAATGGATTCTTCACTATTACTCGTAATCATCTATCAAAGAGAACACCGATCGAGTGAGTGCATACCCTTAGTAATGCATAGCGTAAAATACTTCCCGCATATAATGCGTGATTCCAATATGAAGGGTGTCCAAAAAAACATCGATTTTATAGTAATAACAATTGAGAATTTTTTGTCTTTGTTTATAGATAGTTCTATCTATATACGGTATATTTTTTGAACGTGTTAATGCTCCACGCGGAGTTTTTAATGTTGCTTATGTCAGTTTCAGAATTAAACTAAATATCACGATCGTAAGTCATTAGAAGCGAACAATTTTACAACATTGCCCTATTTTTTACAGACCTTCTGCTTTGTATACAGCCCGGAATCCCATTAACGGAGATATATCAGGCAGATTGTTGGAATAATCTGTTTCAAATTTTAAAGTCATCACATTTCCGGTAGTTGTGAACACGGTTGAATATAAAGCAGGAGCATCGTCGGGGTAGTAAGTTGGATTTCCGCACAGTCTTTTGCTTGTTATATTCGAATTCAATTCGCCGTCAAATATCTGAATAAAAAAAAACGATTTGCCCGAATACAAAAATAAGCCGCCAATAAAAAAATGTAACATCGCAGATTTATTAATGTGTGAGTCGCCAGTAAAAACTCGATTGTACACCTGAAAGATTATAGATACTTGCGACATGATAACCATTTGAAATGTACTTTGAATTGGGTGTTTTGGACTATAGTCGTGGTCGAATACGTCAGATGACATGATTATTTACGTATAATTGGTTGGAACAACCCGTATTGGTCGTATCGCTCCCTCCTGTCCATACCAAAACAATTTTATTGCTGTTGCTATTTTATTGATGACTGTATTTTTTGGTTGACGAAAGAGTAAAATCTCTCTCTCTCGCTAGTGATCAAGATACTTTCAAATGAAAGGACAGCACTGGAGTAGTGAACCATACGCTAATGAACACTTTTCCCAGCCCGATAAAACTAGTATTTTATTATGATATGATTAATCGATTATATAGATCAGCAGTAAATTCTTCAGATTACATAAGAGTAACTGCGGCATTTTGCCTCGCATACATCCTATCATAAAATGGCTTTGATTGAATGAGATGTGCTTTATGTAGAGACTGTTTGTAGTAAAATCATTCACCCTTTCTTTTACATCCAATCTTTTACATCCAAAGTAAAAAAATACACGAGATAAAATAAACTCTTACCTGTACATGATCGAAAGGGCATAGAGTATCCTGACTATATGAGTCTTCAATATCAAACGCAGTGAAAATCAAGGCCACTTTTAATCCTTTTGACACTGTGATCGTCCAAGTTTGATTCAAATTATTGTCATAATATGAGGGAAAATGGTTGCTAGAGAACACGCCATATGTTCCATGTAAGTTGAATGGATCACACAGGCCAGACTTTACAAACGATAATAATACAACCAGTAGAATATATCTAAAAACAATGACATTTTTCTGTTCGTTCTGAGCTGTGCATTTTTCAGCACAGGATGAATATATATATACATAGATATTTCCGGCTAACCTACTGTTCATTGCAAAATAATGAAAAGAATTTCCAACAATTCGTAAGTAACCTGCATATATAAATATATAGACTAGTGACTGCTTGTAATTTGAAAAACTATTATTTTGTTATACACACTTATTACCATTATTGGTTCTACTTACTTGGACAGCATAGTTCCCTGTCTTCATTTGAAAGTCGTATGAAGGAATAACATGGTTGAAACGAACTCACTGAATAACATTTGTTGTTATTTGTTTTGCTCTCGTAGTTAGTACTGGGAATTGGGTCAGTATTAATCCTGTTAAATTTACGTGTAAGACCAAACTCGAATTAACATGATATCGACTGTCGTGGAACCAGTACATATGTAAGTTATTTCAGTTAGGAATATGGATGGATTACAAACATGCAATAAACGCACGCTGGTTTATACCCACGGGGATTGCGTATTGAAATGGTGATTCATAGACTCAATTTTCGGTTTCGTATTGGTTTTGATTTGTCTATATCAGTTGGAAAATAATATTATATATATCACTATGTAATAATTTCCGAAAACATGTAAGCAGTCAATTCGGAGAGTTCGTCAACATCTACTTTTACCAGGAAAGTATCGGGAATTTGCACTAGTCCCAAGAATATTGTTTCGCATTGCTCCATTATCTGTACTAAATTGCGCCAAGTGTTGTTTATCTTGCTGGATAAAAGGGAAACCAATACCACACCGTAAACGATTACAACTCATCTTTTATCTTACTGAAACAATTTTATTTAATTAATGTAAATAAAATGGAACACACCAAAGCATCACAGTGTAAAGTGAAAAGAATTCCAAAGAAATCGGCCGACTTGGTTGGTGACAAGTCATCATTACCCAAATCGAAATGGACTCTTGCTTTTTAAAAAAGGCTTTTCAGTTAAGTCGAGTTTGAACTCTCTTATCGAGTCACGTGTGCTAAAACCATAAAACGGGTACGATCTGGGCTAGTGGATCACGATTACCTAATTCGGTTGGCTCAAGTTATATTTCTTGAGTTTCCTGTTTAATCAAATTTTCAATAATTTAATATTTTATTGATGAAATTTAGTAGGTAAACTCCAATTGAATCTTTTAAATTAAAAAAAACGTAGCGTCGTAACTTACAATTGGCCAAAAGTAGACTGGAGCATCTTGTTCAATAATGTATGTCGCTCTTGAAATCATCTGTAGACAATTACAACAATAATGAAATCCGATTGGAATTCAGGTTCAAATTTTTCAATTTAAAAAATAGGAAAGAACGAGTCCTGTTTATAGTTTCGAATGCTATACTAACGCCAACAATTACATAGACTCAACTATCTTATGTGTAAGATTTTTTCTTGTCTTCCGAACTCATATCCACCGATACCGATAAATTGACACTCCGGATCAGGGGTGGTCAATTTTTTTTTCTGAGTTGGCCAGTTACAGATGATAGACTTGGTTACTGGGCCGGATGCTTAAAACTCCGTATGAATCTATGAATAAAAACAGTTCTTTTACAAAAAAAAAATAGCGTAACAGCTAATTTATAACAAACAGCTAGTGTACCAAGTGCCACAATATTATGACACATTCAGGTGCAGAATAAACTGTCGGGAATTACCGTCTATATTTTAACCGACGATTTGTTATTTTTATCAAAAATTTCAACGCAAATTTATATCCATAAAAACTATAGTCGTAATTTCTACAGCCACAAGTGGGCCGGTTGACCCAACCACTTCGCTGGGTCGGATCCGGTCCGCAATTTGCCCACTCCTGCACTGAAATAAGTGTATTCATAAATTGAAAAATTCTACAAATTACGGTATTCGTATTAGTATTCATTTACGGGTATACAAAATATTTAAATGAGGAATATATTTGAGCGTTTTCCCTGGTTTGGGTAAATATGAATATTTACGTCCACAGTTGAAAAAAACAACGTGATAACAAATCTATCCATATGTACATTTCGTGTCCAACAAAACGATATATATATATATATATATATATATGTACAACCAAAATCGATCCATAGGTCTACCAAGTTCACACACACACACCTATGAAGCAATGATGCGTGTACAGACTAGGGTTAGTTCGGATACCTATAATTTTTACTATCCGGATAACGGTTATATCCGGGTATTCCGTATTTTAATTATTCGGTTAACCGGATAGTTACTGCTAATTTTAGAGAACCCATTCCACAATATTTTTGCGGTGAATTGACCGAAAACCACCACACAGTTCTATAGTTTAGTATATATAGTATTTTGTGTTCTGTATTATTTTGTGATTTCTTGCACGACGAAATATTGACGAACATTGTACATATATAATGTAATAGCATACATATAAATGAAATCATGAACACACAAATTCATGCCTTTCGAACATTTTATTTCGATGAGAAGTACTCAGGGGAGACACAGGAAGTCCGTGAATTTTTAGTGACAAAAAAAATGATGATATTACAAAAATCGAACTAGAAATATTCACCTTTTTAACTTGTCACTGTAAATATTCTCACGTTTGTACTAATTAAGCCACAACTTAACATCTAATTCGAATACTTTATAAACTAAATTAACAGAGCCAAAACAATGCTGCACCAGTTTTTGAACAACTTTACTTATCACCCTAGGTAAGTAAATGAAAAACATGACACGATACAAAGTCTGTCAAATTAAACTTTGCTGAATAGACCATCCTGCAAACAAACTATTTTGGGAAAGTTCCATGAAAACCAATAACAGCCCTTCTTTTTAAAATTTTCGAGAAGGTCACTAATAAAGGCGGTCTCATTTTTTAGTCTAATTTTTTTTACAGTCTGATTTTGTTAGCATCGCCGATTGTTTTCTTCCGTGTCCCGTGATTATTTGGGGAATTAACATCGGCATTATGCCAATTTTAATTTGATAATAAGTTACATTGCGTGAGAAGTTACCCTTGTTGCAAATTCAGTAAATGGCGATTCAACAGCGCCCAGTTTATCCATCACTGGCCCTTAAATCAAGAGTCGTGGTATTTTCGTTAGCATTTACTGCCTTATTTTCAGTCAAAAATGTGTGTTTCAGATTCACTCATTTAACGATAGATACGGCGATTTCAGTTCCGGCTGAAATAAAACAACACTTGGCGTTATATACCGAAGAAACCGCATCCCGACTTTTCTCCCGAATATGTTGCATCTGCATTTATTGTAATAAATTAATTATACTCATTGAAATTGCAATAATAGCTCAAATTTGATAAATTCGCAAGATCGCAAAACACGAATTAAAACTGTATTTATTCTTGCAGCTCGTATTTTCATATCTAGAGTAGAAGTGATTTTATTTTAACGTAAGTCGACGCAATCGCAAGATACGTTGAACATATATTTACGGTTGAACACAGTTATTATGGAAAAACATTTTAAAATACTCGAGTCGGCCACAAATTGAATATTTTGCGGGATAGAAAAATTATTATGAAACTGAAAAAGTAGGCGGTATTATCAGCGAGTGTCATGATCGCAGAGACATCTTCACAAACCGTTGCAAAGTATTTATTAAGTATATTTATTTAAGTATATTTTAGATATTCATTTTGAACTACGCGACGTAACGAAAACAATCGAGGGGCATGTAATATTGAAGTTCACTCCAGCATTCCACGGATGACTAAGATATAAGTATTGTGAATTAAAGTTGTTATTATATGCTCTGGGAGATGTCGTTTGCCACTCAACAAAAAATATAGAAATCACTAACGCGCATATGCATAATTTATACTGCTCTATTATCCAGTTAACCGGTTATCTGGATGGTCCAACTCGAAATGACTATAACTTTGGTCCAACCCAAAGTGACTATAAACCCTAGTACATTTCATTGACATGAACTGTTATCACTGAGAGTATTTCGATTTGAGTCAGCATTTATAACCTGTGAATGATCGAAAATCACGAGTTTATTGTTCTGCGTCATCCGGTCTGCTGGCCGAGCAAAGCGAGAAATTTCCCTTTGTGCTGCATATCGTCGTCCCCGTTGCCTTGATAGCAGCGTTTTTCATTTCGATTAGATCAGCCTACGGCTATACCGTACCACCCGCAGCAAACTTCGTTTGTACGTACGGGTACGGGTCACTACTGAACTAGGTGATCCAAAGACAGAGAAGAGCGTACCGGTGATAAATATAAACGCGACCGTTCAGCCGCTTATCACAGTCAGACAGTATACTGGTATAAGTTTGATTGCACTACTTGAAATCCAGCCATGAAGAAAAAGGTAAATTTTAAAGTAATTAGGGAAAATACTCTTTGAATTCATAGTACAGTTGTAAGCATACCCATCTCGGGATGAGAATATATATAAAAAAGCAAACATTTTATGTTGCATTCTGTACATTCCATTAAATAAATGTCTATAATAGCAATATTAAGATTTTAATTAGATAACATATAGCCTAGTCGGCGGATATTTGATATCATTGCTATATCCAACGTCAGGAATTGCAAACTAATATTGATACCTTTAGGTTAGACAGAAAAGACCCGTTTCACTCACTATGTTATCAGCTGAACAAATCCTAAATTTTAATTTCAGGTTTTATTAATGGGAAAGTCTGGCTCAGGAAAAACCAGCATGAGATCAATCATATTTGCAAATTATATAGCGAGAGACACAAGAAGACTTGGAGCTACAAGTAAGTTATTGTAGAATATAACAATATAATTTTTCCAATATATTTGTCTTTTGATAATAAAAATGAATTGGACGTTCTACATGTGTTATAGAAAATGAGTCATGTACTTTCACAGTTTCAGAGGTACTTTATTAGCAAAACCTATATTTGTTTTTCTATGCACACAGTTGATGTTGAACATTCACATGTCAGATTTCTTGGGAACCTTGTTTTAAATTTGTGGGATTGTGGAGGGTGAGTACCACTTCTATTTGAATACTTTTTTCGAGATTACTGCACTTAGCTGTAGCAGAGATGTAATACAATGTGCATGCTTCAATACATGGAATGTATGGGTACAATAGAATTGACAAATAAGTTGCTAAGCAAAGAATATTTCACAAGTTTACTTTTTGTAATCTCCTTCGCCAATTCAATTACCAAGCTTGTCATTTTGCAGACAAGAAGCATTCATGGAAAACTACTTCGCCAGTCAGCGGGACAATATTTTTCGCAACGTTGAAGTTCTCATTTATGTTTTTGATGTGGAAAGTAGAGAAATTGAACGTGATATGCATTACTATCAGACCTGCCTTGAAGCTATATTACAAAACTCTCCTAATGCAAAAATATTTTGTCTAATTCATAAAATGGATTTAGTACTAGAAGACCAACGAGATATGGTAAAGATAAATAATATTATAAGGATTACAGCCTTTCAATATTGTATATTTTCACATGCTACATCTGCCATCAGAGTTGTGCCATAGCTGCCTAGCCTTCTTAAATACAACACCTGCAATAGATGTCTCCCTGGCCCATAGAATTTCTTGTTACACTTTACTAATGTAGAAATATTTGACAGGGCGTATTTGCGCAAGCAGACCAGTTTTATAACTGAGTCCTTCTTTGGGATTGATTTTTTTTTTACTGCAACTAAATTTAAGCTCCTCGGAATACAGAAAACAATGTTCTAAATGCTAATGTTAAAAACCACGAGGAAGGTTTCTAAGCTGCTGCTAGAATTTTGATTATTAAGTATCTTTGAGCTTTGACATCCTGCAGATTAGTTACTGTTACCGAAATAAAGATATAAATCAATGCTCAGGAAATTTTTGAAACAAAAAAGGCTTTCTACATCTTTGACGTTGTCGTCAAAATGTCTCTTCCAAGCGTGAACCAGAGTTGAAAATTTTCATCCGGTGATAATGCATATTATCGGCATCTTTCAAAAGATGCTTTTTGTATGTCTCAGAATTATGTTTTCATTTGTGCAGGTATTTCAGGACAAGCAAAACGACCTTATAAATTTATCCAAACCTTTGGAATGTACTTGCTTTAAAACTTCAATTTGGGATGAAACGCTTTACAAGGTTAGTAGTAGTGATCAATAGTACATCCACACAGCCCTAAGAATAATTTAAATTTAATTATTTTCAATTTCAACAGGCATGGTCAAGCATCATGTACCAACTGATTCCCAATGTTCAAGAACTTGAATCAAACCTCAAAAAATTTGCAGAGATCATAAACGCTGATGAAGTAGGAAAATGATTTTATTTCAACCATAGCTGAGGAATATAGAAAGTAAATAAACAATTTTATAATCTCCTCACAGGTGCTATTGTTCGAAAAAGCTACATTCTTAGTAATATCTTATCACCAGAGAAAAGAACACAGCGATATACACAGGTTTGAAAAAATCAGCAATATCATCAAACAGTTCAAACTAAGCTGCAGGTAAGATGACACTCACATGCTGTGATAATTAGACTTACCGGTAATTGATTTTTGGCAGTGACTTAATGCTATATAAATGTACGCTTTGCTTTGTTTTTAGCAAAGTAGCAGCATCTTTGAGATGTATGGAAGTAAAGAACAAGGACTATGCAGCATTCATTGAAATGTTTACAACAAACACCTATGTTATGGTGGTGACCTCAGATACATCAATTCGTAAGTAAAGTTTCGTCTTCATTGCAACAACATAATCAATGTCTTTCCCAGTTCCATTATTGGAAGGACCATATATTTTTTTTTTCAGCTCCTGAGTTGACTCTGATCAACATCAGAAACGCTCGAAAGCATTTCGAAAAATTGGAAAAAATAGACCGGGAGAGAGATCGTGGACGACTTGATCAGGGACGACAGTCAATGTACAAGTGAAAACGAACATCTTCGGATAGTTTGGTGTGCAATAAAGTCCACATTCGATTTCTTTTCCTCACTACTCATCATCACTTAACGTATTTATCCATGAACTTTTTATGAAACTCTGATCTCAATGTATCATTTATAAATCGTTTTTGTGTTTTGTCGGGTTCGCCTCTAGCACAGTTCTTGAATACGACATCGTCATCCCATCTAAATGAATGTTTGTAAAATAACACTTTAATATTTTCTCATTACTTAAAATATATTTGCAGCAAGTTAATTAATCGTGTTCAGTGTGAGAGGAAGCAACAGTAACAAAAAGGTTGATTTGTAAAATATGATTATATATGAGCATGCGCTTTTATTCTGATAACCCCACATATTCACAATCAGCACTCACCTCCGCTTGACAGCAAAATTTGATTCCCCACGTTTCACGTTCATTAGAGGATTTCCACTCAAAATATTTTCTGTTCGTATCCGTGCTTCTTCCTCTTTCTTTTCTAGTTCCTGAAAAACAATAATATTCAGGATTAGCTTGTGATCTGAAACTTTAATAACTACGTATGTATATACCGGTAATCTAAAAAAAATTGATTCCTTCTGTTTTTGTAGACCCCATATCAGTGATCATTTACATTGCCTTCGATTATACATCCCAGTACATTGTATAATATTTTAATCACAAACCTTCTTTGCTGATTCTTCTGCCCTTTCCTTCTTGATTCTATTCAATTCTGCTAGTAATTCAGCGGTATCATCTTCCGAATCTGAATCACTGTCGCTATCCTAAACAGTGAAGCAAATATGACCATTAATATTATTAGACTTTCTGAAATTGTCATGAGCCCTGTAGATATTTGAGATTTGGCTCCAGGTGTGACAAGATGAACATCTCAGAATCATAGACCATGCCAGTGATCAAGATAACGAGCGTCTATTTAACGATAATCTCAAGAAGCCATATGAAAAGATAGGTCCAGTAAGGAAAATCAACTGACTGTATCTGCTGGATCATCGGCGTCAAGATTAGCCGCTGGAATTTGATTTAATCTTTGTCGTTTGTGTGAGTCCCGGGATGTTCTGTCTGACGACCTCTTTTCATTTCTCTCTCTATAGCTTCTGCTTTCTCTGTCATCCAACTCGCGTCTGAAATCACGAGCGTGGATGTCTTCAGGTGCATTCTGTGAAAATAAAAGTTAATGAAGTTTGGCAATGGTGGCGTTAAATGTGGCAGTAATCAAATATGACATTATTTGTTAACGTAAATAATAATAGCCAACCTCTTCACGGGCTCCAAAACGCCAAAAGTTTGAGAACCCCTGGTCTAGTTAACAAACTGCAATTCCTGATTATTTCATGAAGCTACAACACCTGTTTGGCGATGGGGTCGTAAGGCCATGTGCAGAAATAGATGTAGTTAACATTATTTCTGATTCAAATGTTGTTTTATCTTGCAGGAAATTGAATTTTATAAAAAGCATAAACAGTTTATCGATGAATATATATAAATAGCGGTAGAATGACAAGTTACAAGACAGGGTTACCTGTCCTTCTTGACGATATTTCAACTTGGTATGGCTTGGTAAATCTCTGCTTGAATATTGTTTTGATAATTTTCCCAAATCACTTTCTCCTCTACTAGATCCTCCTCTAGCAGTATCAAATGTTGGTCTTGCAGCAGTTGTCATCTCTCAGTGATTTCTCTCACAAGTGTTTAAAATATTTCACAAAATACCCATCAATAAAAACTGAAATTTAACCTGCAAATGATAAAAATCTGTTAGATAAAGATGTAAGAAATAGAATATCCAATACCAAAATGATTCTTAATTAATATGTGAGACATATACAAATATTCTAGTAGTCAAGTTACTTATGCTGCAAAATGATTATGCCACTAGCCCACTAACAACAACAACAAGTTAGGAATTAGTAGTGATAGTTGACTATGATGACATCACAATCACAGGTTAAAATCTCGGTTTCAAATCTCATGCCCACCACTTCACTTACCCAAAGTGTAATAATTAATTTGGGCAGGCAATGCAGAAACTTGTTTGGAGCTAAGGGTATACAAATATAACATAAAAAATCATGATTCACCTAGGGAGGTAAATTTCATGGAAAATATTGCAAACCGATTAGTACAGTTCCATGGAAATTTATATTGGTATGGCACAGGTGATGATCAATGAGTTGAATAATATGAAAAACAAATCTCATTTGACATGTATTATATTGAAAATATATATTAGCATTATTTCCACTGTCGTCCTAATATTCATGTGCAGTTATGACCACTTTGTGGCGTCTGAAGCTGCTGCAAAACCATAGCGGGAATGCCAAACAATGGCGTGTGATGGTGTACCACGGCAGCAAAATAGAGGCAGATATAAAGTATGTTGCCACAAACCAAGGCATGTAGTAATTCTGTGTCATCTTCATAACTGCGACTCCTAATTTTCATAAAATATTAGATTGCTAATCTAGAACCCTGATAGCATCGCAAGCTGCACATGATACAATCAATAGGAACTTCAACAGCTTGTTCATTGTCCATACGTACAACAGTGTGTGTTATGTTAGCGATATTGAATGAAATAGCTGTTCTAATATACGATTCAAAACAGTGTAAAGAACAACGCCAACAACATCTTCCACCCTCAATAAATTCTCGACAAAAATGAGTCAAACTTTCTTCATCATATGGAAGCCTTTTCTTTATGATCACCCTGGCAGTTAGATCTTGAAGAGATGCAACATCTTTTAGCCTGAACAGTGGAGGGATAGATCCTACTTTCAAAAAATCATTTCCAGAAAGATCAATTTGCTCTAACGACAAACATTTGATAGAAGCAGGTAGAATTCTCAGCAAATTATCTGGAGCAAGAAAAACTTTCAACTTTTGTAGTCGCCCGATACATCGAGGTAATAATTTTAACTTGTTTGAGCGAATATGAAGTTGGTACAATTCGCATAAATTTCCAAAATCTGGTGGTAAACATTTTATCTGATTTGTATTGAGTTTTAAACATCGTAAACTTGAACAAAGTTTTGAGTTTGGCATAGAGAATGTATTTGGCAGTTCTGATAAATCATTATTCTCTAAATTTAATTCCACAAGGCTTTGCATCTCTGCAATGCTATCTGGAAGAGTTTTTATTTTATTGTTACTCAAGTTGAGAATCTTCAAATGTCGTAATTTTAACATTCTTGAGTCTAGTTTAAGAAGCGAACAATGTTCAACAGCAAGTTGTTCTAAAGTACTCGGAAAACCTTCTAAAAGTGGATACCTTTGTTTTGAATTTACCATCAACTTCGTTTTTGGTTTTTGTATTACTCTATTTTGTACAGGTTCGGCAGATGACAAGACTCCCCTGCCCAATAAAGATTGTCCAGTACTAGCAACCTTAATAGCATTGACAAGTCGTTGAAGATCAATACTATTTGCCCCACTGACACATAAATCCAAATGCGGATCTTTCAGTCGAATTGTTGCTTTCCCTTCTGACAACATTCTGCTGAAGATTTTTTCAACATTGTTATGGAGTTTGTAACGAGACCCATGTTTATTTTTTGTTGTACACCACATAAGAAATGTGTTTTCTTCTTTTTTGAATACAGAAAGTGTGGAACGAACACCTTTATTTGCTCCAAATCCTCTGGAGGCCGCTTCTAAATTTATTGATGCCACTGAGCAAACGAGCCTCATGTTTTTATATTCTCTGATTCTAGAATGGTAAGGAACATGAACGGATTATGGAATTCAAAAATACATCACCGGTCTGCCGGTAATTGAAGATTAATGATAGAGGTGATCGCAATTCTTAAAGATATAGTCTAATTTATTATTAAATCAGTACCGGTACTACAGTCTGACAGTACTAGAATATCTGCCATAAATCCGTAACTACAGAACTAATACTGTACAGAACTGCTGTACGTACTGGCAACTTTGCCAGATTGTGCGGATAACTTTAACGCATACTGGTGATGTACGGTAGATAAGCCAGAACCAAAATATATACACGAAGAAGCTATCTAAATTTAGAACGTTAGTTCTAAACTAAGTCTCTTTTTTTTTGCCAAATTTGAATCCATTGCCAATTCGGATTTATGAATAGGATATTTTTGGTTTATTCAAATATTTATTTCAAATTTTGCCAATTAATATTCGAATTTAATCCAGATTAGTTCCCATTTTCCAAGAAAATTCAGAAAAACAAAAGAAAATACTTCTAAACTAAGTCGCACTCCAGACAGACGCAACGTTAGCAACAAGCCACGGCTACTGATTAAACTTGGATTAAACGACCCGAAAACTCCCTGTCTGTGTCACTGGATGTCCTCGTAGTCAACAAAATTTCATCCCAAATGTTTTCACGAGAATTTTCTTTAAATGACATTACACCCAACTGTTTTTTTGCAATCTGATCTTACAAGTCCCGTTTCGACTATTATCTTCTGACATTCTAGAATAAATTTCAATTTTTAGTTCGGAGCTTGGGACGTTTCTTTGAACGATAAATACCGGTATTGCTTCACTCATTGAGCTAACTTAAATAAATATATAACGTTAGAGTAAAAATAAGCAAGTAATATGATACATTTTGTGATATCTGGTGGTTTTAGCTAATATATGACGTTCAAGTACTGTACCGGTACACTAGCGGTACCGTAAAACACGGACGAAGCCATCTTGATTCGAAAATCTCACGTATGATTGCAAAGATTGTGAAGCTTTCAGATGAATGAGTATTCGTTTCTATGGCAACAATGTTGATAAGTGACAAACGCACAGTCGTCGGCTATTCAAGCATTGGGAATCTTGGTTAATTCTGCTTTGTCTGCTACAGCGGTACAGTGTGAGAAAACTGCTAATAATCACTGGTGGTAAGTTTATTTTTTTGCAGTAGACCTACTTTTATAACTGTGTAAGTTACAAGCTAATTTCTATATTGCTATAACAGCATTTAGAATTCAGGAATTGGCGCCAACCTTTCTGTCTCTAGAATCAATGTGGTTTTGGCAATGCATCAATCATTCTCCATGTAGATGAAACGAATTTTTATGCAATATTATGTCTGTATGTATCTTCATTAAAATAATTTCACCACTTCGGAAACCGAGACCACAAAATATGTATTGAATTCAAGTTTGCACAAAGTGTTGTCCTGTTCTACTTTTGATCAGTATTTTCATATCTTAAATGGATTTGTAAATTTTATTGCTTGAAGTTGTATGGTGTGTGTTTATTTTATTGTGTGCACTGACTGTTTTTGGGACGAGCGTTGTTTAACTTTATCCTAAGTTATGTTCGTCTTCGAGGTATGTCTGCATTTTGTTTGTCCGTTTGTTGTTGTTTTGTTTTATGTCAGATTGACCAAAATAAAAATGGATTGGCAAGTGTTGACTTTAATAATCAAACTTACATCACTTCTTCTTCCATTTTTCATTTTTTCAATATTAATTAGGTTAATGGAGTTAACGACTGTCAATTTTGTTGTGATCACAAATTGGGTGAAATAACTACTTTCTGATGGGACTTTGAGTTTATTAGCATTGTGTTATTGTAAGCTGGTTCCTTGAGCAGAATGGTTAAGATTTTGTAATTTTTTCACAAGACTGATTCACTTGGTATCATATACTGAATTCAGACACCAATTTTTTTTATTCAGTTGAAACTTATTTTACATCTACACAATGCCACGAGGAAAATCAGGTATGAGTCATCCATCAGAAGTCAGTGATGCAGATCTGGAAGGATTTGGTATGTTTCTTTTTCAATATTTTTTATTATCATCATTTACTTCTTTTCACAAAATAGCCATTACCTATTAAAGAATTTGAGGAATTAGAAATCAGAAATGGGCCGAAAGATTTGCTTTTTTCAAAATGTATGAGGTGGCTGTTTGTACAAAGCTTTGTTTAGAATGGAATGCATGTAAAACGTCTTTGGAAAAATGTGAAATGGGATGAAATATTGTTTTTTTCATACTGTTACTTTCGTGGTGATTGCCTCTATGAATCAATAAGCCTTGACTAGAGCTTTGTTTAGAATGGAATGCATGTAAAACGTCTTTGAAAAAATGTGAAATGGGATGAAATATTGCATTTTTCATACTGTTACTTTCGTGGTTATTGCCTCTATGAATCAATAAGCCTTGACTAGCTTTAGATTCCACCATTTTATTATATGAACTCTCTGATTTTTCTGATAGATCATTGTTCATAATAATGGAAAAAGTGGCATATCATTCACCATTTTCTTGCTTAATTATTAAAAATATCTGAATCTCAAATTTAGATCTAAATTTCTACGACAAAAAATTATTAGATGTTTGGTGAATATTCAAAATTAATAATAATTCCAGCAGCAATTTCTAATTTGATCATTTCATTTTTTCAGCGGAAACTGAGCTTGAGAAGCTGCAGAGGAAATATAGAATTATGGAAGGAGATAGACAGGCATATGCACTTGAATCTCAAGATTTGATTAGAAGACAACTGTATGTTGCAGTTTATTTTAATTCAAAAAATTAATAAAACTGAATTTTTTCACTAAAATAAGAACTTTAATGTTCATATGTTAATTCTTTTATTAAATCATTTCTAACACATAATTTTACTCACATAATGAAAAGAATTTGTATGAATTCGCTATACAGTACGACATGACAAATTTACTTGAAATCTCTCTTAAATAATTGAATTGAGTTTCATTTAAAGAAAATTTATTTTTAGTTGTATTTATGAAGTATATTCTTTAAATAGAATCAGTGATGTTATGGAGTTTTGGATCCAACTATCTTTGCGACACGGGTTAAGATTTGTTCTAGGTGAAAATGTGAAAACATTCTATAAAATGAACTTTATTATCTTATCTTCATTAAAATATTATGCTGATTTATGATTAAAATTAATTTCTTCTACCAGTGCTGAAATTGAAAAGTTACAATCAGAAAGAAGTGAATTGATGAAGGATCTAAATCTTGCTGAGAGTAAATGCAATCAAGACAAAGATAAAACTAATATCAGTGATTTGATAAAACTTCTGGATGAGAAAGGTATAATATATTGTAATAAGTTTTTTTTATAGGTTGTGTAGTTCTGGTAGATCTAAAGATTTTTCTTGCAAGAAAATTAAAAATTTATGATATTTGTGTTTTTGAGGTATTCCAATTATTTTGCTTATCTGGTTCAAAATTATATTGTCCCTGTAAACCTTCCATTTTGGCATAAGGGAGATAAGGTATTCAAAATTAATGCTGCAAAATAGATCAGTTTAAATATATGAAATTGAATTTATTTGCAAAGGGTATGTATCTTGAGAACACCAATCTTTTAAGTGTTGATATCTCCAGCGATTTATCGTACCTTTTCTCAAAAAATTTGGAATCGGAAATATACATACAAGGGCGCTCCAGAAGTATGTGTACCAATATGGAGGAAACTAATTTTGTTCGCCTATTCTACATCAAGTTGTGTAAAGGGACTGAAACCCATGGGCAGGGTGATATTCACCTGGCTAAAACAGACAGTCTCTGAACTCAGAATTACCCTAAAATAAAGAAAATCTAAATAAAATTATGGCCTAACTTCAACCTGGTACACATACTACGGGAGTACCCATTCAAGAGCACTAACCTGGGTGCTGCACTGGTTTTCAAAGAACTATAATTTTTAGGTGCAGCTAATCCTTCCCCAATAGATTTTTTGCCGTTATTTGAATTATTCAGGGTTCAAAACCACCAAGATAACTAACTCAAGAGTCAACACACTTACCAGTAAACCAGTATATCATATAGTATAAAAGTGTGGAAGGCTTTGAAAAAGAATTTTTTTAGCAGAGCAATAACTTACCAGAAATTTTATTCGTTGATACTGCTTTGTACTTGAAAACATGAATAAACATGTCCTTTAAAATTAAATTCTTCCTCAGATTTGTGTGAACAAGAAATTGAACAGGAGAGAGAAACTCAAGAAAAACTTGATGCAGAAATAAAAGAATGGGAGAAGAAAGTAAAAGATCAAAGAATAAATATGGGAGGAAATGAGGCTACAAGATGTGTTGCACAACAAACTCAAAAAAAAGAATGAGTGTACTAGAAGGAAGGCTTCATAGGGTATTCTATTTTATTGTCCATCCAAAGTAATTAGCATTCTAGCTTTCTCATAGAAATGTTTTGATCCGACTTTCATCTTCATGATATACAAACAGAGAAGATCAAATATCTAGAATAATATGTTTTAATTCAATTTTGAGCATCTTTTCCTCCAATGACTTTTGTACATGCTACAGTATCACAGCCAGAAAATGTCAAAATGAAATAAATAGAAACCGAAATTGCTCTCTTTTTTTAAAGTTTTCAGAAATTAAATTTTAATTTTTGGTAAGTTGTGAGACTTCAATTAGTCAAAAATTTTAATTTTTCAAAACAATAATTTTTCACAATAATGAATTACTTGAATATTTTTTCCCTCAAATTTCTGTATCTTATCTGAATGTAAGTGGTTATTATTGCACTATTATTTGAAACAGTGGTGCCCAACCTTTTATGGCTTGTGGCCTCGTTCTGGATGGTTTTAGCACTCCTTTATCATTCCATTGGAATTTATAACGTTGTTTTGATTGGTAGATTTCAAATCTTATTATTTTCGAACAATTCATGCTCAACAAAGCGAAAACGCCCTATGAAATAACCTTATTAAACAATGACACTAGGGAGAATGGGGAGTTTTCTTGTAAAGTGAAAAGTAGAATCAATTTTGCGCATATCATTGTGGCCCCCTTGGGAAACTGCTGACCCCCGGTTGGAACCGCTGATTTAAAACATTGTGTTTCCAGTTATCCTAACGGCATAATTAAACTTAGGTACTTCACAAGATACACAAATCACGATTTTACAGTAAAAAGAGCTATTTCATTGAACAATAATTTTTTAATTTATAATATATTTTTAATTGAATTTATATGGGATGTATACTTTACATAATATTATGTTTCTTCATTCCCCTTTTACTTCAGGCTCTGTCAAAATTTAATACTTCACTGACTAAAAATGCTACTCTCCGAGATCACATTGAAACTTTAAGGATTGAGAAAGGACGTTTCCAGCAACTACATAAAAAACTAGACAAGGTAGCTGTATAACTCAGTTTTAATTGAATATGTGAATGCAGTTGCCAAACTCTAATAGTTTATGGTGATCAAATTTTAATTTAAAAATTCAATTCAACACCTTTGTATATTAAATGTATAAATGTTATGAGCTTTATCTGCAACTGTTTTTTTTTTATTATTCTTGTGTTGTTGTTATCAAGGAATTAAAAGATCTGAAAAGAGAGATTGGCCAAGTGATTGAAGCATCTACTCTTGCTTATGATCAAAGAGATGAAGCCCAGAATAAAATACTCTTATTGAGAGAGAAATCAGAGAAGGATCTTCAACAATTCAATGCTGAAATAAAGGTATATTACCTGATTAATCCCAGGGGGAGAGAAAAACTGGCAAGATAGATTATTTATACATCGAACCCAGACCTCTTGTCGAGTTACCAGTCTAGGCATGGGAATCGTTGACCAGTTAATTGTTCCAGATTTACTCATTCTGTGTTAATAATATAAGCTTCATAACTTACATTGTATTTGTAAGTTTTTTTTTTTATTTGAATATTGTGGTTGTTTAGAATTTGACTCGACAATTATTTGATTTTGACTAATACAAATTAATCCATTTTGATGCAAATACATGATATATGTCAAAAATCTTAATTTTAAATTCTATATAAATCATGATAGGGTTTCATAAATGCAACTTACAATCTTGTGGTGCCGGGGGATAATTATGTTATATGTGAACGATCTACGCTGTAAGGTGGTTCATGTAACCACTTGTCACTTACGTCTTCCCATACCATGAATTCCATGTCTTTGAAACAAAAAATTCGCTCTTTATTGTAAGAAATATGAAAATCATATCTGTATTTTATTTGAAAATTCAGAAAATTAAGTGATTTTTATAATCATTTCAACAAAAACTTATTGAGCGTCCCTAGATTATAGTTTTTATTGCTTTGTTATTAGGAACTACAAAGAGTGATTGATCATGATAAGACTCTTCGTGAATTCATGATGGTGAAGGGAATAACAAGAAGTACGGAAGATGGAATGCTGGATAGAAAAGGTAAGACTGATTTACTAATTCAGTTTTCTTCATTAAATTCGCTGTTACTTAAATTTTCTTTGTATTTTTTAGGAAAAGAAATGAAAAAGAGAGGAGATGGAAGAAAAAGTATTGAATCATATGAAAATGCGTTCAGAGAAATTGAAGAAATCACTGGACAGACTGATATTGATGCTCTTGTAGCCAAGTTCATACAAGGTATATTTTGTGAATCTTTGATGTATTTTTTGAGGGAACACTTTTGAGGCCTATTGGATAACCTAGTCCAGTGGCTCCCAACTTCCAATGATTTTCATCGTTTCACCGTGAAATACATTTCATTCAATTTACTTTAATTAATGTAGTCATCGTGAATGGGACCTTGGGAAAGCTTTTTCTCATGGCCCACACTCTGTGCCCCCCTGGAGTAGCTATTTGGCGAAACCCTGCCTAAGTCAACTTCATCATGACCCCCTTTTATAATTTCTTCGTATTTAGAATTTTTAAACATCCTTAACTATATTTTACACCTATAAAAAGCAATGCTGTTGTGTTATTTATTTATCTCTATAATTTTTCTCTCTAACGATTCAATTTCATACTATTAATGTACAGTGGAGGACAACAATTTTGCACTCTTCAATTACGTAAATGAACAGAATAATGAAATTGAAAGACTTCATGATGCGATTGAGCAGGTCAGTTGATAACGAATAGGGAAAATTAATATGGCATTGAATATAGCATGATTTTTGTTTTCAATAATATTTTCTACTAATAAATTTCGTTTTTCCAAAAAGTCACCATAGTTATATTTACAATAACAGTACGATTTTATGTATCTTTGTCAATTGTCATCTTTATACAAGATATTCATTTTATAACAAAATGATAATATGCGATAAATATGATAAAAATTGTATGATAAAATTTTATAAAAACTTAACTTGCGGACATGACTGGCCACATTCACATCAGTAAATGATCTTAGCTAAGCAGCGAATTTTCAAGAAAGATCAAAGTACAAACTTGACAGAATGTCTCATGGTTGTGAATATACGCAAAACAAGCTCATCTTGGGTGATATATCAGGCCTAAATGGGGCTCAAGAAAATTTGAAATAAAAAAAAAGAAATAGATTTCTAGCAACTTCTGCAATATTTAAGTACTGTACCAACGTTTATGACATAACATTACCATTTGGTAGTTCACTTCTCGAAACTTGTCTTGTACCAGGTCCTCTTCTGGGGGTACATGTAGCGAAGGGGTCCCAGCTTTTTTTCTAGTTAGGCCTATACAAAAATTAGATGCTATTTTGTAGCTATTTTTTCCCACATACAATGCCGTTTGAAACACAAAATTTTATTGGCTTAAGTTAGCTACCACAGGAAAACGGAAAAAACATTAGTGAGAGATTATCCACTTCATGTCCAATAACTTTTTGGGAATAGGTAGACCAGGTTTTGAAGTAATAAATAATTCACTAATCCTAGATGTGTACTATTTTTATTGACAACTATTTTTATATTATTTTGTAATTCAGATTCTTAAAAACATCCATGGATTTGAAAGTGAAGGAGATCAAATGGAATCAGAAAGAGCAGAAATATTGAGAGATCTCGAGCATTCAATATCCGTTGCTTCAAAGGAATCAGAACACAGCAAGAAACAACTCACAAATACTCTCAAGATACTGGATCAACTTAAAAGAGGTAAAAATTACATTAATAAATATTAGGCATCATTGAACCCAAAAAATGCAAATTTCTTTCTTTTAAGTTTGAATCGGTAAGTAATGTATATGTGTGCAGATTGCCCATCTTTAGTTATTCAGTAGTGATTTATTACCTAAATTAGTTACTTCATGTTTGATTCATGTGTCCAGCTTTTTACCTATTTTCCAAGATGACTTTTCCCCTAACCCTTGACCCCAGGAAATTGTTTGCTATACTCAACCATTGCAATTTGAGAATGATTTCATTAGTTACCTACTTGTTTCATATTCATCATTTTGATTTAAAAAAATTATTTTCAGACTAGTTCTTCACAGCTTTTTATGAACTTATTTTGGATTACTGCAACTAAACTAAAACTCCTAGGAAAACAAAATAACAATTGATTTATTCCGAAATTTCATAAAACTGACAAATATCGAGCTAAGGCATGTACACAAAGATGCTTGAAAATCTGTCCAGGTGACAGCAAAAGTTTTGATTGTTATGTCACTGCTGATGTTTTTAAGATTAGCAAATATCATGGAAACAAACAAACAAGTTGATGTTTAGGAAACATCTATTGTAAATATTGAAAAAAAAAAAAATTTGATAACTTTAACTTCAAAATTTTTACATTGGGGGTAGTTGACTCTGATGATCGTATGGTTGTATCGCTCCCCCTTCTACCTCTCTCTGGGGAATTTTAGTTTCTAGTCTCACTGTTTTAGTCATTCCTCCCTATGATGATCCCAATTTTATACCAGAAGCTTCCATAAACCCAATCTTCTTTCTCATTTTATTCACTATATCTTATTAAATAAAAATTTGATTTCTCAGGGATTTCTTCCATTTTCAACAAGATTGGTTGCGATAACCAAGCACTCAGTGATTTACTGGGAAGTGCAGAAGGTGTTAAGGATGACAATATGATGCAATATCTTGGTTTGGTCGAACAAAGAGCAAATGAATTACTTGCTGCACAGGCATATATAGATTCCCAGGTAAAGATGGGTAATACCATATATCCTTGCGTTTATTTGAGTGTGATCCGAGTTATGTGTTTATAAGCCGACCCCTTAGTTTGGCAATTTTTTTTAGTTTCAAACCCTTCCTTATAGACGAGGAATTCGAGGATATATGGTACTTCAAAATATAAATGATATGATAATGGTTTATAAGGTATCGTGTTATAAATAAATTGATTTGAATTATTGAATTATCCAATTAACTAACAAGGCTGTGAGGAAAATCAAAACTGTGCTCAAAACAGCGAACCACTCAAAAAATGACATGCTGAAGTCCAGCGCCACGGCTCTGTTAACCCATAGCTCGTACATCCGGGGTGTTGAACTGTTTAGCTATTCCCTCAACTGCCCCTTCACCCAGTAGCAAAAAAAGAGCTGTAGATACTTTGTATAAGTCTTCTACTTCAAATATCTACATAGAAGAACGAGGATTATCAAAAAAGATTTTTAAATTATGTTTATTTCCTGATCATGAATAATTGGCATCACTGTATTATTCCCTATTCATAACTTTTCCTTTTGTTTATTTTGTTGTCATTATTATTCTAAACTCAGTGTACAAATTCTTATGTTTTTGATTTGTTTAGGACTTTGAAAAGCCTTACGATGCACAAGAGAGAGCTCGAATGCTACTAGGACAAAGTCCATCAACTCCTGTTCCACCTTTGCTCATTGCACCTCCATCTACTGGGTAAATTTTAATTTCTTGGAAGTAATTCTTCTTGGAATTACTTTTTATCTGTTATGCAGGGACGTACCAAACTTTTTTGCTGCCCAGGGCGAGTTTTTGATGATGCCCCTTATACCTAACTTAATTGAGAAATATAGGAAAATAAAATTGAGAAAACAATTAAGAAAAATAATTCAGGGGATGAACAAGTTAAATGTTGTTATACATGAGAATAAATTATTTAATTAAAGGTCAAGTCAAAATGAAATGTTTGTATTATTAATTAATAATTTAATTATAATTAAATCATCAAAATTAAGCAACAAACTCATACGTATAAGATCAAATTCATTCATTTGCTGCATCTACAACATGTTACATGGGGCAGCTGCCACTATGGCCCTCTCCTAGGCCCCTGCCCCTCCCTGCTGTTATGTCATAGATATTCATTTGAAATTCGACAACTCTCCTTCCATCTACATAGTTTAGAAGGGGTCGCTTGTCACTTTTTACTCTTCTATTGGGGATTTTTCCATTATTAGAATGGAACATCTTGACATTGTCTTGTCAAACTTGCATGACAAATAAAATAGTATTCCTCAGTACCTAATTTTTTTTATAAATTATGGATAAATCACTTGCTCTTCACAATTTTATATCATGTTCAAGTTTACAAATCATGCGACAATCATCAAAGTGAATATTAATTTGAAGCAAGCCATAAAATACTGGTTACGAAATCAAAAAGGGTCAATTTGAGGCATTGATGAGTGTGAGATTTAGATAATAATCCAGATGCAGAGTGTCTTAAAATATGTATGAGTAGTTTTGATTGCTAGTGACTTTAAAAAGCTTAGATCAGGGTTTCTCAAATTGGGGTTAGCTAACCCCTGGCGGTCCGAGATGACTGATGAGTTTGGTCCACGGCCCAAAAAGTTTGGGAAACCCTGGCTCAGATTATATTCAGTTACCAAAATGAGCAGTTTGCCAGTCTTAGTTGTATTTGTTCATTCACAGTGATTTGAGACAAAGAGCTAAAAGAAACAAACTGTTAGCCAATGTATTGGAAATGAAGTAAGTTTTATTTAGATGTTTTCTGACAGGTTTTTAACGTCATTACAGTAGATTTTGAGTGTTTTGAAACTTTGTTCTAGATGGGTCATCAGGCAGTTGCGGGTACAGTAGCTCACTTTTTTTCTATGTGTCCTGGATGGTTGAATGTTTCGAACAATAATCGTTTAGTCAGATCACAATTTCATTAACTCTAGTAATATTATGGTTTCAGCATGCATTCCAAGTCAATATTTTAAATTCGTTATATACCACATTTTTCAAACCAAAAGGCGCACTAACAAAGACGCACTTTGAATTTTTCCATTTTTCTCAAAATGCAATTGTGCATCTTATCAATGACATTGTTTAATGTCATTGATCTTATGAGCCAGAGCGCCTCATGCAGTGCTTCATGGTTTATTGCCTACACTCAAAACCAGTACCAGTACTATTGATTTATAAACAAACAGCTGTTTTATGTTATTTTTTTTTTGAAAAATGAAAAATACAATAACCATAAAAATACTTAACAGTACTGAGTTTTTTTTTGCCCAGAACCAAAACCTAACAAATTTCTGGTACGTAATGTACAGTATATATAGGCATACACAATACCATAATTATCGTCATTAAATTTTATTTAATAAAAAATCTAAAATTTCGAACTAGGTCTAGTTTAGATATCAGCCTGGCTCCAATCTTTCTTGTTGCCAGACAAGGGGAGAGGAAATAAGTCTGGAATCAAAGGATTTGTGAGAATTCTAACTTGTTTTAGTTCTCATACCATGACTTATTTTTCTCAATATGGGGTCACTGCTTAAAAGTCTATACATCCATCCCAGATATGTATTGCTTATTGGGAAAATTATGTACTAATTTTTAGTTACCGGTACATTTCACTGTCATATGCCTACTCATATGTTAACTTTTAATGTTTTAGAGAGGAGTATGATAGTGAGGAGATGGAAGCAATGAGTGACGAAGAGAGTAGACCGTTCACACAAGAGGAACTCAAAAATAGAATCATGAAAGCGGTAAGTTTAATTTTCCTAACTTTGTAATGCTTGTTCTTGGTGATTTTTTTTGCTGCGAGCCAAGGCATTTATAAGATACACTTTAGCATATATATAAATTTGAATCTTGAGAATTGAAGAAAAATATAAATTGTCATTGTAACCTGCTTTTTTGCCTTTCCAAGTCTTAGCCAATATGTTTATGGATTTAAAATTGTATGATCAGTGGTGTTACATCATCCAAAAACCATTGTTCCATCTTCATTCCAAGTCTATGCATCTGAAACATATACCTGGCTAATTAATCTTGTACCCAACATGGACTGGTAACTAGGCGAGAGGCTGTGGTTCATCGACTTATTGACTTTCTTTTCCACCAGGATAAATATTTTTTTCTCTTTAACTACTGGACCAATTGCTTTGAACTTTTCAATGGTTAAAGATTGCTGTTGTTGCTAGAAAGCTATTTCTCTTATTTATTTCAAAAATTTCTGTGGGCTCTCTGGAATATATTTTTCACTTTTTGTTTGTTGACGTCATTAAAATTATAAAATTTGTGATCGTGGTGATCTCGTAGGCAGCCTACCGGAACTCTAAAGGATTTGATGATACTTCGTGTTTATTCTTTGTGTCCGTATATTTGAGCAATGCTCTCTTGTTTTGTGTAATATTCTCTCCAGGGTGTTACAACTTATTTATAACATTCAATATATTTTCAGGTTTTGAAGAAGGAAGCAGCTGCTGCTAAAAAGGGTTTTAGATATGACCTGTCAGCAGCAAAGAAAAAGTAACAAATCTACTCATTTATCAACGAAGAGATAAAGTTGTTAATTTTATAGTCAATCCAAAGTATATCATTGAAATTTTGTATCATATAACTCGAACCAAAAGTATTCTTCAAAATTAAAAGCGTATCGTTTTGTATTGGACATTATTTTAATTCAGTAACATAAAAAATAATATGTCCAAAATTCCAGTCAACAAAAACTGAAAATTTAGATTCAATGGTTTTTGAAAGCTTTGTCCGAATTAGATTGTTTTAATATATAATCAGAAATAAAGTTTTTAAATCACTACCGTAATAGCTCTCCATCATAAAAGCATTAGTCTTGTTAATCAGAACAAATACATATAAAAATTCAAGTTGCAATTGCAATAATAGGGACAACATTGGCAATTTACTCATCAATAACATTTTCTAATCTCATCGGTCTGTAAATTCTGTTTTGATATTTTTTTGTTCGTACTATAAGTACTATATATTATTTGTGGTTTTACCTATATAGTTTATATCATATAATCTTCCTAAATTAGCTAGCTGCATTAATTGCCTTGTTCTTCAATCATTAGAGGCTTTTGTAATATACTTTCTGTGTATAAGAAATACCCAAATACCTGAGCTACAAATCTTACCACAATACAATTACCTATGAGAGATGCCTATCTAGGAATAATTTCACATCCAGAGTGCCTTTGTATAAAATATTCTATATTATTCTTTTTTATGAAAAAGTTGTGATACATTATCATTATCATATTGTAAAACAAATTTGATATTCTCAAAAAAATGAGGATTTCTTCTTAAAAAACTTTTTGGAGCAATGATATTTTGTGTCTAATCTTTTTTGAATAATTCTCTTATATTTCGACTGGCTTGTTAAATAAGTTCTTGTTATATGATTAATTTCTGTCGACCAGTTGTAGTATTCTGATTAAGATTTACTAGCAATATATATTCTTTTAGAGTCTTATTCTATCGCAGTATCTTGGACGATTGAGCAATATATTCTATGGGTTGTTGTGCTATATTTTTTACTGCTATACGGTTTTTCAGTAGTTAGATTTCTAGTTTTTTACGTTGAAATTTAGATGTTTTGTTATAGATAATCAACCACTGTTGTTGTTAATAAAAGGTGTTAGCACATGTGCCGTTTTGTACTCTATTGGCAACACTATTTTGAGACACCAGGATGCATGTGTTAGGTTTATCGATAACTGATCCCATATAGACTGATTCGGGATAGTAACATGCTTTATGGCAATAGCAACAATCCGTGGCAAAAATTCGGTTGTTTTCGTAAAATTGGTGCTCGGTGGTGGAGGAGGGTTGGTAGCATAAAAGTCATATTGGGGATGGCAAAATAGGGATGGCGAAATACGGTCGAAAGGTGGCAGATTAGGGATGGCGAAATAGGGACGAAAAGCCAAATTGGGGATGGCAAAATGCGGTCGAAGCGTGGCAGATTAGGGATGGCGAAATACGGTCGAATGGTGGCAGATTAGGGATGGCAAAATGCGGTCGAAGCGTGGTGGCAGATTAGGGATGGCAAAATGCGGTCGATGGCTGTCAGTTTTTGCCAAATCGACTGTCATAATGCGCTGTTTAGTATACAGATAACAATAAACAATTGCCTCAAAATTACAAAGAAATATGGCCAAAGTGTTTAGATTTGGGGCTGATGAAATGGATTAGTACCTGTCAAATTCGGGCTGGGAAAACACAGTCGATGAGTGTCAAAATGGGATGGCGAAATGGGGTCGAAGCGTGGCAGGTTAGGGATGGCGAAATGCGGTCGAAGCGTGGCAGATTAGGGATGGCAAAATGCGGTCGAAGCGTGGTGGCAGATTAGGGATGGCAAAATGCGGTCGAAGCGTGGTGGCAGATTAGGGATGGCGAAATACGGTCGAAGCGTGGCAGGTTGGGGATGGCAAAATGCGGTCGAAGCGTGGTGGCAGATTAGGGATGGCGAAATACGGTCGAAGCGTGGCAGGTTAGGGATGGCAAAATACGGTCGAAGCGTGGCAGATTAGGGATGGCGAAATGCGGACGAAGCGTGTCAAATTGGGGGTGGCGAAATAGGGTCGATTCCTGTCAGGTTAGAGATGATGAAATATGGTCGATGCGTGTCAGATTAAGGAGGGCGAAATAGGGCAGTGGGTTGACGGGTGTCATGTTAAGGATGGCGAAATGCGTGTCAGATTTGGTAACGAACATTGTCAAATTTAAGGAACTAATCTGATCAGTGTTTCACATTTTAAAATTCATTTAAAAGGTATTGTCCGATTTTACATCGTGTCTTTATTTTATGATTAATTTTAATGTTTTATATATTATTACATTTTTCTCATCAAGTCTTGAACATTTTTTTTATATTTTTCTGATTAATGATTTTAATACAATCTTTTAATGTTTGATATATTATTACGTTTCTCTCATCAAGTTTTGGGTACTCCTGAAGTATGCGCACCAAGATGTCGCACAACCTGAACCCTAACCTGGTTCACAACCTGAGTTCAGGTTGTGCGCCAGCTTGTTGCGCATATTTCAAGAGGTCTGCATTGGCTGGCATAGCATTGTGGTTCGTGCCATCATTTATGAGGTCATATGTTTTATCTCTTTGGTCATGGAAATTTCAATTTTTCCCTGGTATTATTGTCCCTACAATTTTTTACGCCACCCCGAAGCCTGCGATATTTCTATTCCAAATACTGTTATTAAACAATTCTTTTCAATTACAAATATTTTAAATTGCTCAAGTATATATGTAGAAGAATCCTGTTTTGCTTTAAAATATTTTGGCATAATTCACGATCACACTGCATGAAGAGTTCATTCTCCGTGTTTCGTTAATTTCAATTCTCAAAATTTCTTTCGAAGTTAATTGGTTTTATAATTTGAATATAACCTTTTGATGTAAAGATGTGTTCGATATATTATGCTATAAAATGATTTTTATGATATTGGGTGAATTCCTATCTAGAGGAGAGTCTTTGAATAGGAATATACGTTGTAGTATTACTCACTTTTGTATAATATTATTCATGAAAACGCGACAAACTATTTGAACTGCGTAAAAATGAAAATGCGACTTTTGTATAACACTGGCAAAGAATCTACAAAAGGCAAGGTAATTAAACATAGGGATTTTGGTATAAACAGTTCAAAAACCAACTAATAGAAGATTTCAACACAAAATGTTGGAAACCACCAAATTCATCCATTTTATCGTTTTTCAGAAAGAAAATGTCGAAGAATAGTTTGACTTTTTAGGAATCTTCTTGCATGCTTTACTTCTTGAGGAACATAATTACCATTACTTGGTACAGAATCCAACCCATGTCTTACTGGATAGCGAAGGAGCAACTTATAAATTAATGTGTTACGTGTAACGCAAGTCTTGTTCTCTGTTGCAATTGAATTCCAAGGAAAGACGCATTTGCGACGAATTTTTCGTGCTGTTTGGAATAGGGTGGGTTAGACCTTGGTGCTATATATATCCGCATTGTTTAATATTTAATGGTGTTTATAACTGGCGTAGTTTCGTGCACCGTTATTTCGCGTTCAAATGCGTTTGATGAGGGATTAATTTTGAGCTAGTAATACGTTCAATATTCATATCTAATGATTGTAATATTTGTTCTGGTGAGTATAAGATACAAAAAGCCTTTCTAGATTTTCAATTGAAATCAAAAGAAATTATACTTTCAAAAACTTATAGGCGAGATGTTTTGAAAACATTCTGCGCTGAGCAGGGTCTCTATAATTGTACGGACATTTAGCGAAATAAAGCCAGTGAAATACTTCCCTGAATATTCGACATTTACACTGGAGTCAAATTACTACTAATCTGCAACTGAAAATTTTCAACCTAATTGTTTTTGAACTTTACAAAACAATCTCAAACATTTGATGGTCAGAAAACGCTAATGTTTCATGTAGTAGTCAGGGAACACGCAATTTGATGGGTTAGTCTAGCAGGAATGGCGAAGCTTTTTAAAGAATTGGGTCGAAAATTATTGTTGTATTGTAGAAAAGAAGACTGTGGTTCGTAGACAGGGTTGTTCAAAACGAATCAAATATTCGAATACATTTTCGGCTGATTTTCGAATAATATATAGTCTCTTTTCATCGTAAACACGGTTTTTCGTTTTTGCGGGAATCTTCAAACGATTTTACACATTCATTTCCATTACGTCAAGAAATTTGAAGATTATTCAATGTCGTAATTGTTATGATACCCAATAAATTGTCGCAAGTCGGAAAACAAGTCGATTTATTAGAGAAAATAATCAATACTTTTTCCCGCTTTATGGCAAATAATTTTGATAATGATATTTGAAAGTTTCGACTTTTTACTGGGATGATTTTCTATTGTGCAAATTATTCATATCCATGACCGATACAAGCATATAAAATTATTATGCGTTATTAATTTAGTTTTGTTTAACGTAACTTATGGTTGCGACGACAATTTGTGAGCATAAAATGTGTAGTGAACTGCCCGATATTATTCATTTTTGATTCCTATTTTTGGATTTACTGAATAATAAAAGTATTATTACTCTGAAATCTACTGGAATTTGTGGACTTAAAATGTGTGGCAAGGTGCCCGAATATAATTAATTTCTGATTCGTATTCACAAAATAATATTACTCAAAAATACACTACACGGACTTAAAATGTGTGGTAAAGCGCCTGAATATAATTAATTTTTGATTCGTATTTTCAGACTCTTGGAAGAATTGTCTCAAGTCGGAAAAATAATTTATACTTTATCCCGCTTTTTGGCAAATAATTTGAATAATGGTTGGTATTTGAAAGTATGAACTTTTTACCAGGATGATTTTGTGTTGCGCCAAATATTCAAATCCATGACCGATACCACTATTTCAAATGCCTTGCCATATTAATTTAAATCTGTTAACGTAACTAACTCATGATTACGTCGACTTATAAAAGAATAAAAGCGTTACTATCCTAAAATATATATCGCAGTAATCTGTGAATATGAAATGCTTGGTAATATAGCCAGTTATTCCATTGTTTATTGCATGCAAATTCTTTCGCATATTATAGATAGGGGTGGGCAAAATCGAATATTTTTTTCGAATCGAATAGTTCGAATATTTTTAACGAATACCGAATAGTCGAATAACGAATATTTTTTTATACACAACAGGAGGTCTACAACGTCGGTCGATACTCCCTTTGAAAATTAATAAAGACATTGAAAAATCGGCTACAAAGCGTTTTTTTACTGGTTAATTTCGTCATAATCATGATTGTTTTTGTCACCGTGACCGTTTTTGCGGTGATATATAATCTATAATACCGCCCTTTCTGTTATTTGCAAGTATTAATTCTTTCGCGTCGGCGGACGTCGACGTTTATATTTCGGGTTTACCCGTGCGTTCACGTCGGCAACAGCTGTTAAAACCATTAGGGATTGATGTAAAAACCCAAATTAATATTATTCTAATTTTTATCATTTGCGTTAGCTTTCATATAACTTATCAACGTTTGTAAATTTACCGTCACAATATTAAGCGAACGGTGATATTATTATCGATACCGGGATGCAGATATTTATTAAGACAATACCGTAATTAACTTTGCTATGCTTTTCTATGGTGTCTATGTTACTTTACAGATAAACCTCGCAGAGCTCGATTGCGTCAATCCCGAATGTTGATTTAAAATAGTGACTAAATAATTCGGCAATAAAGGCATTTCTGCGTGGCCATATGACGAGATGACGTTAATAAACAGCGCTTCTTGAATAATAATTTGCATATGCGACCTAATGCTGAAAAAATTGCACTTTTGTGCCTAATAGATGGCCAGGCGCTATTTATAACTAACTCTTCCAAGTTCCGACGTTTTCTTTCAACAAACCGCGCGGTCATTATCATTATCGTTACCGAGTAATTCACAATTTTATTTACGGAATTTGCGAATTCACTTTTACTTCTCTTGACAATTTTGACAATGTCACGCCCTATTTATTAGTGCAAAAATGCTCAAAATATAACGAATGTAATCATTTCCGACGATACAACAATTCGTAAACGAGACAGTGCGCGTTGTTACATCGAAATTCACGTTTGATTTTACGCCATACTCCTGTTCACGATTTCTACACTCCA